TATGAGCATCACCAATTCTTAGCTCTTCGGTGGGTGACAAATCATAACATATCACGATATCTAAGTGGGGTTCAAAAGGACTCACATCGATGAGTAGAAGATATCTAAGTGGGGTTCAAAAGGACTCAGCATCGATGAGTAGAAAAAAAATCTTGATGGTAAGGATGTGGGCATCATTCATAAATAAGAGCTTTTGTGTTTAGTGTTTAACTTGCTCGAGCAGCCCAATTTAAATGTGTCAATCATAGAATCTGATTCTATATATATAAATTGTGTTCGTTGGAAGTTATAGCCTTCTCTTTTTGACCTCTCAATACATAAATGTATTTGTTTCTATTACTACATATATATAATGTGATTGCATCGGATGTCGTCGGTGTTTGGTGTTGATTCGCAAATCGGCATGCTTGGGGCCCTCTCATGAGAACACCGGAATCCAGCGCTTGAAAGAGACCGGTTTTGCCGACACGATTCAATAATACTGACACTGATAGGGGCACATGACATTAACTACTTGCTTTTTATTCATTCCATTTGTCTATAATATTGTTATTTTTTACGAAAATAAAATAAAATATTTGATTTGAAAATTTTATAACTAGATTGCATGAGATTTTGAGTCTTACATCATCATCATCATCAAACAAATATATTATAGTACATTATTTTTATTTTACAAGTTGAACTCCTTATATATATATATATATATATATATATATATATATATATATATATATATATATATATATATATATATAAAGTGGATGTGGTATATACTAATGAATTATTATTATTATATGAGGACTTAGTCTAATAAACAACCAAATTAATATGTTATTTGTTATTTTGCTGTAAAACATTTTTCTTGATTATTAAGATAGCAAGAAGGCTTGATTCATCCACTTCCCAGTGATTAGGTTGTGGATAAAAACTAAAACAACTAAGGAATGGTGTGATTTATATTCTTGTACAAATTCAGACATTTACATGGTCTTATCTTTGGAATATAATTCAAAAGATGTAAACATGATTCAAACCGTATAGTATCAGAAATTCAAGAAATTCTGATTATTTAAATAATTATTATGCCTATTTAAATCTTAATAAAAACAAATATCAAATGAATGTATTTATTCAAATAGTAATTCGATTAACTTGTTAGCATAGAATCCTAAAGCATATTTTCATTTAGGATTCCTTATTGATTTGATAATTAATATACAGTCCTCAAAAGATAACAAAACTGTTGATGCTCCCTTTGAATTGATGTTTTGTCTTGTTTATATCCAATTAGATATGGTCTTATGGGACAATGAACTTGAGGTTGATGTTGTTTTAGTTGCGACTTTTAAATCAATCAAGTCCGGCCAAACAAAGTTGTCCTTCAGTTGTTGGAGCTAATTTCTTGCTTAATGCCAAATGTTTACTAATAAGACACCCTAACATAAGATTTTTCCACTTGTTTAATACATGTCTTTGAACATATAAACTTCCAATTGATTTTGGGCACTGGACCTGTGGATATCAATTTTTTATCCATGAGAAGTACAACTTACGTATTGCAAACTTGTTATTTTCTTGAATTGGGGAAAACGTAGTCAAAGTAATCAATTGCAGGGCCACAATTGCAGCTAAATGGGGTACGAGTCACTGTCACGTAGCTTTGCATGCAAGATAAAGCGTCCTAAAGTCCACAACAATAGAAAGGAGAGTTAATGTGGAACAATAATGTTTAAAAGAAGGTTGCATGTTATTATTGATTTATCATGTTTTTTTAGATAGATCTTATTATTGGAAGACTAAATTAAACCTTATGTTGTTGATTGAGCTGGAGTGGTGAGAGGTAGAGGAATTATCAATAAATATTTAAATACTCATAATTTAATTAAAAATGTTTTTTTATATAGATCAATAGTAAAGGATTTATGTAACTAATATTAAATAATCGATTTATTATATTACATAATACTTTTTTATTAAATTAGGTTAGAATATTATATTTATATAGGTGGATTATATCTTGGTAGAAGGAGAAATTGAAATAAGGGATTTAACAATGTTAGTGTGTGTATATGATAAGATGATTTTCCTAAAAAATATTTTTTGGGTATTTCTCGTACAATTAACCTCATTTTAGATTTTTTAAATCATACCCTTTACTTTGAAAAAAACCAAAATTAACCCTTCTTCACTTTCCCTTCTTCGCCCCTCTTTTTACCGTTGCTACTCCATCATAGTTGGCTATCCTATCGGACCCATCATTGACTCATCCTTCTTGCGTCGTCACTCTACATTGCATTCGCCATCACCTATATGTCTTGCACCACCCTTTCTATCCATCGCTACATTAAAGTCGTCACTCGTAACCCTTTCGATTTACATAATACCCTTAGGTTCGATAAGGGTATAAGGATAGAGGTGGAGACGATAATGAAAGAGGATCGGAGAAGGAGAGATAATTTAGAAAGTCTTTCAACTATGAGTATGGTTTAAAAAAACCAAAATATGAGTAATTATTTGAAAAATACCTAAAATAAAGATATTTTATTGGGAAATCACCCTATACTATATTATCTGTTCTCTATGAATAATTAAAATTTAATTTCTTTTGACCAACTTTGCAATATTAATAATTAATAATAATTTATTGTAAAATAATAATAAATCTAATAAACTCGTACTTGTAGAAAAAATAATCATGAACCGTCTATTAAAAAAAAGGATTTGATAGAGTAAGTTTAGCCAAACCTGCACACCGATTACATTTTAAAAAAAAATTAAGAAAATAATCTAATTCCAATAATTAGAAACTTTAAACTATCTATTAATGGGGGTGATGGATTTTAACTTTCATATATGAAATACTTGGATCCCCAGACATTCCCTATGATTTAACAATCCAAAAGCTAGATCTTTCTCATCTAATAAATAAATGCATTATCCTATTGCAACTCTTATTTAATTAAATTAAATGAATAATATATACATTGGTAAATTTTTTATAAAAGTTTGAGACTTATTGTGCAGTGCCCCAATGTTAAAAATTTTATAAAATAAATCTTTTCATAAATAATTATTTTACGCCTAGCTTGCATCGGATTTGTCTTCACCTCTGCCCTCGTTGTGCTTGCCTACGACTCTCGTATAAGGAAGGAGATGGCACAAGGGCTATTGCGACCTTCACAAACCCTGCTAACCCTTATCGGATCCAACCCTACTCGTGTAGGCAACGATGAATCGAATAAGGTTAACAAGGTCTGTGGAGGTAGTGGCGACCCTAGCACCCCCACCTCCCCGCCCCCCCCCCTTCTTTCCTCACACGAGGATTGACAAAACGGGACAACTAAGCATCAAGTAGAGGAGGGCCCTATGCACGGTAGAAGGTGGTGGCTAGGCTCAAGTTTAGGGTTGGAACAATGATGACGACGACAAGGATTTAGTACGATGACAATGACTCTAGCACCCCTCCTCCCTCATGTAAGTCGTAGACAATACGTGTAGGGGTAGAGCCAACAAGGGTATCCAAGGTAGTGGTGTTGAATCCTAGATTTTGATGATGAAAGTAATTGATGAGTTAATGGACTAATAAGCATTTGAAATAAGTGATACAGGATAAACTTCGATCATGGACTTAAACCATCGAAAGACAAATTATTGAAGCAAGAGAATCAAATGATGGGCTGGAGAGCATCATGTCATAGATTGGACATCGAGCCAAAGGATTGGTCGACAGGCCGAAGGATGGACTTTGTACCATGAGTTCGGGCATCGAGTTGGAAGGATCAGGTATTGCACCAAGAAAATCGGATGTTGTGAGAGGTTAACATACCGATGGATCGAGCAATATACTCAAGGAAATGACGATACGCTAGAGGTTCAAACGAATTGTCAAATAAACATATGACATGCCCTAAAGGCTTTATGATTGTAATTAGAGTTGTTAAGTCTTGATCAAAGTCGGTTAGAGTCTAATTGAGTTAGTTTTAGGACATAAATATACCAACTTGATTAGGAGCCTATTGGGTCTGAATCAAGGTCGAAATGGGCATATTGGATTGTCAATTCATTGACCTAGGGTTGGGCTGGGCGGTGGCACCACTAGGCTCAAGTGGTTGTACCGCTTGAAAGTTGGAAAGCACGAATTATGTTTTTTCGGGAATCCCGATGGTAGTACCACCCAAGCAGGCGGTGGTACCGCTAGAGCCCAGATTCTCAAGCTCTATTCGATGGTAATACCATCCAAGCAGGCAATGGCACTACCAAAGTCCAAATTCCGAAGCTCTATACGGTAGTAGTATCACCCGACGTAGGTGGTAGTACCGCTAGTATCTCGAAAACTCAGAGATTTTATTTTTTTTAACTCCATTTGAGGTCTATAAATATTTCACTCATGCTTGCAGGATGCAAATATGAAAACTTATGATTTGAAATATGTAAACTCTCTTAAAAAATGTTAAGTATCTTCCTCCTTGTATGGTTTTCTTGTAGAATAAGGGTGTGAAAGTTCTCTCATAAGCCTATAAAAATGAGAAATATTTATAACAAGGGTAATTGATCTTCGCCTATTGAAAAGAAGATCGGTAATAAAAGTCGATAATCTCAAGGAAAAAGAAATCAGGAGTAGATGTGGGTCGGGATGACCAACCACTATAAATCTAATTTATATTTCTTTTTATATTTTTTTTATGTTATTACTAACTAATTTAGTTACTCATTACCCTTACTCACATACTAAGTTAAACCTTTTTCGATCAAAATTTTTTAAAGTTAAACGTATTTTCGATACATATTTTTCGATCAAAATTTTTCAAATCAAAACTCTCCCTATTGCATGACGGAGACAACAATGTTGGATGCACGTGAAATTATTGATGTGTTTTTTCTCATAATTATATATATATATATATATATATAAATATATTATTTAAACAGTAAGTGTCTTGCGAATTTTACAAGTGCATATATAAAAGGCAACAAAACACTTCATATCTTCTGCCTTTCTTTTTTTTTCTCTTTATTTACCGAATCTTCTTATCTTCTGCCTCTCTTTATCTCTCTCTTGTGATTGTATTGCTCGAAAACAAACATAAATCTGATCTTAACTGAAAAGATCAACACAGAAATAGAGATAGAGAGAGAGATTTCTCTACATTCGGATTTAGTCGCAGCGATAGTGATCGGAGAACCGCAGTCGGAGAGCTGTGGAAAGAAACGACGACGACGTGAGTGGATGATTTCATCCTCTCAATTACTGAGAAAGAGAGACAGAGAGGAAGAGCAGTGGTTAAGATGAAAGGGTACGGCGCCGCCGCCGGCGTGGTCTCGACGGCAGCGCAGGCGGCGTCGAAGCGGCGGTCGAAGGGGCAAGCTGCGGCCGTCTTCGTCTTGGTCTTCTTCTCGATGCTTGTTCCCCTCGTCTTCCTCCTCGGCCTCCACAACCGCTTCCCGTCCGGTGCGTGATCTCAGATCTGCCTCTCCTCCCCCTCGTTAAAACCCTAATGTCGCCCTCAGATCTCGCCGCCGAGGTGTAGCCCCGGCGCCGTCTCGGTCCTACTGCATTGCGCGGTGGAGCTCGGGTTCTTGGTGCTCCTGATCCGTGGTCTGATTGGGAATCATGGACTTTGGGTGGTTCCTTTTTATTGCATTGTCTGTTTCTTGATCTCAAAATCTTCTCTGAGATTGTGAGGTTTCTTAATCAGCATCTGTCATTTTCTGCAGGATACCTGGCTGACGATCGCTCCCAACAGGTGAGCAAATCAGCTAGGATGATGCTAGGAAATTGTTTTGATAGGTTTATTTCACCTAATTTCTGGTTTGGTTTATCTCTAGGAAAGCAGCTTCGAAATCTACCATCACGTGGATCGTGGTGAAGAGAAGAATCCCTCCGAGGTTCTCTTCTCCCTCTTTTGTCTTTCTGTTAGTTGACGTGATTGTTGATGAGGTTTTACACTGCTTTTGTAACTGGGCTTTTGTGTTGGACATCCCATTTCACAGATGATTATAACATATTGGTTCTGGCATTTGACAGGATGATCGGCCGTTGATTCATAACGTCTTAAACAATTTTGTACCAACCTTCCAAGAGGTTCATCCTACACATAATTATTAGGCTTTTAACTTTGAATATCTTGACACTTCGTCATTTTCTTCTAGTGCATAGAAAGATCGTGTCTTGTAATCCTTTCTTTTACTTATGCTGCCTGCATCTGCTTGTTTCAAACTTGTTGAAATCAGAATGCAGTGAAGGGGAAAATGACAAGGAATATATTCTTGTTATGGATGTATTAATCTTTCGTCCTATCTGCAAAATTATGTAATTGAAACCAATCTTGTATATTTCCATGATGCTTGATGCAATAATTTGTTTCTTTTTTTTTAATTATTGGGCCATACACTGTTTGAGTTATACTTTTCACCAAAGATGGAATTGTTTTGATGTTGCTTGTTGTCAGTCACTTACAGGAATGTCTCTAAGTTATAATCTCCATGATCAGATAAGCATGGGGATAGTTTAGTTTTGTTTATTATTTATCATATGTCGAGTTCTTATACGTTTGTTGTTATACCACCCTATCATGTAAACATGATGTGGTTCTGCTGGTTACTGATTAATACATAGTACTTTTTCAGTTTTCAAATAAAGATCGGATTAGGGCACCTTTTTCAGCTTTCTTTCTGTTTGGCATTGATACTGCAAAGCATTGTTTTTCAGCCTTTAAATTGAGTTAATAGTTGTTATTACTCATCTAATCTTCAATTAGGTAGTTTGTAGCTTCTCTGGAAGGTTCTACATGTATGTTCTTAGAGAAAATTAGTAAACTTGATATTGAGAAATGCCATCATGAAGTTGTCTTTTCTTGTGCATGATGACAAGGGTGAAATACCCATTGAGGAGACAAATTTGAGATTGATAGCCTATCTAACCTTTATCTTCAATTTTTCATAATCTTTTTTCTGTTATATCATTTCTTCTTTTTCATACTAGTGGTATCTTGCACCATACATCATTTTCAATCCATGATATAACTTCAAAATATACTGTTGCATAAATATATTGCTGTAATTGTTGCTTTTAGACTTACCATCTGCAACAATTCCATTTTTAGAGTATCCATGCTTCAATATTCCTGTTACAAGACCTGTGCTGTAATGACAATTGCTATACTTCTCTGCTTCAGTAGTTTCTGAAAAATGCTTCATTATTATCTTTGATCTTAGAACTTTTTAAATTTCCATGACATATTCTAGGTGATCATTAAGTTTACATGGTTCTATTTTTTAAAAAAAATTAATATAATTCTTTGCCATTTTAGCACATAATATATAAATTTGTACACATGAGTGACAAATTCCTAGGCAACAGATTCATAAAACCTCATGATATTAGTTTCTATTAGATATTGGTTCTTTGTCATCCTAGTGGAGCACCATAGTTACTGTTTAGCTATTATGTCTGACCATTATAGTTGATTTGAAGAATGGGGACCTTATGGTCATGTGTTTTTATAGCAGATAAATTAATATGCTGGATTATGCTTCTTGACTTTATTTAAGATTCTTGATGAAGTTGAGACTGAAAGGAAAGACTAGTTTGAGGTTGAGAGGGGCAGAATGTTAGTGATCCTGATGTTGAACTTCCATCTTTTGTTGGGAATAGATTAAAAAATATATTCTGAAGTGAGGTGCCTGCTTTATTGTTGTATGTATGGAGATAGGTTGAGCAGGACTTCAAGAAGAAGAAACATTTCATGGTCTACACATTAAGCAAAAGCAGAATTGATAATAAGACAAAACATGGATCATATTATCTAATGATTTCTTTCAAAGTCAAACCAAAGAGAACATTTTGGATCTTAAACAATTTATTGATATTTAAGACTTGGAAGATGGTCCTTCTAAGAGTCTTGTGTATGACCACAATTTTGATGATAATGAAAAATATTGAAAATAAATTAGTGGTTTTGACATATAACTGAAACAAAATACTGGACAAAATCAATGATTGAATAGGAGTTGTAAAATGTTCTAGAAGTTTTTGTATATAGTCAAGAAGTGGATTTATCATGAAGACAATATGGTCAGGAAGTGTGCTTTCTTGTTGATAATTATCTCTCCCCAAAAGATCAAGAAAGTTAAAGCCACAAGAAACTCTTCCGTAAATGAGAACAAACCATTTTAGGAAATTTTCTTTTTTATTTTAAAATGTATGGGGAAAAATCTTTCTTGCAGTTTGACGAGTTTTATACTTGCCACTCTTTATTTTAGGAAGCCTCTTCCTATCGCATCACTGTTGTCACCTCATCTGCATACCATGACGTTGCCACCACTTCCTCTTTGTCTGGCATGTCATTTCCTCCTATTGTTAGGCTTCCTCTTCCTCCTTCATCTCCTTTTTTTCTGCCAGTTCTCTTTTTCCTCCTCTTCCCACCTTTGCTCATTTTTCCCTCTTTCTTTCTAGTTTATATGGTAACAGCTATGCCTAATTTTGATATGATCCACTGAGTTTCAATACCGAATTTTCACAAATTGATGTTGATATCAGTTACCATGCAGTTTTGATGAATAATTGCACTATATCTAGTAAGATTTAAAAACTCAGCTTCGGTGCTGATACCTGTTGATTGAAAAACCAGTATGGTTCTGATATGGCCGAAGTATGCTCGGTATCACTTGGACCAAGAGAAAAGGGGAGATAAGAGGGCAGGAGGAAGTGAAAAAGGAATTGGAGGATAAGAGGAGGCTGTGACGCGTACTGAAGGAAGCAAAAGCGGCAATGAGGGGAGAAGATAATAGCTGCAAGCCTGCAACTGGAGGAGATGGATGCCAAGGTGGCAGCAACATAGGTGGAAGCGAAGATGAGGTAGTGATGTCTACTGAAGCAAGCAATAACAGTAATGAGAGGAGAAGATAATAGCTGCAACTGGATGCCAAGGTGGCAACAACATAGGTGGAAGTGAAGGTTGCAACTGTTGAGAAGGCGATAGCGGAGGTTGGGCCAACAGTGGAGGGGAAGGTGGTAACCGATGGCAGACAAAGCTGTAGATGGTAGTGGACAAAGCCGCAGACAACAACAGATGAAGCTGCAGTAGTGGACCAAGCTACAGACGGCGGTGGATGAAGTTGCAGCGGCAGACCAAGCTACATATGGCAACGAACCAAGCTGCAGACACGGGTGGATGAAGCGCTAGGGTTTTGCTGGGTGGGGTGCATGAGGAGGGGAGGGGTGTTAAGTTGTATTAGTTGGTTCGGTTGAACCAACTTAGTTGCCCAGACTGAACCACTTGTGAACTTGGCTTGGATGCACGCCTGAGGCGCCCAACGCTTCAGCTCAAGCATGCGCCTAAGGGGCGCCTTCTTCAATCGCCTCACCCGGACCAGCAATGCTCATTTCCTTGAGCCTTGATGTCATTAATCATAGTTTTTATTATCTTAGTCCCTTTTCATTGTGAGTTGGGAAAACCACTATGGTTGGCTCCTATATCAGTGTCACTATACCCAAACCTCCTTTGATATCCTCTGTTACTATTTGCTGCATCCCTATGCTACCTAGATTGCATGGACAAATAAATTCTGAGTTACTGTTTGGGAGGAAATGGGAAAGGCGGTGAAAACAAGAGATGTACTAGAGACAGTGTATATGATGAGGGTTGGAGGGTGTGCATCGGTATCTCAAAGATGTATAATAAAATTGGAGGGAGCTAAGATGCTAGAATTTTCAAGGATCTTTCCTTGAGGGAAGAATGTATCCTCCAAGAAAAATAGAGAAGAGTCGAGATAGAGAAGAATACGAGAAGTGAAAGAAGAGGAAGAGGAAACGGAGGAACTACAGACTCACAAGACCTCTAGTTGTAGGCTCTTGTTTCTTCCCTATCCTTTTGCTAACCAAACTCGAACTTAACTCTTACCATCACATAAGTTAAGTGATAAAAATTTAATCCGGTATCTGATCCCCTATTATAGAACTTGATAATTCTTAGACTAGGACTTTAGAGACATTCTAAAGTTGTCCCTAAAGACAAGGAAAAAAAAATATAGGACTTAAAACTCCTAATTCAAGCAAGATTAGGACTTATATTTGAGACTCGGTTTGGTCTTGACTCGGGCATTGACCTGCATTTTGGATTGAGGAAGGGACCTTACTACCATAAGGATTAAAGATGTGGAATCTGCTTCTTTGCCAGTTGCCTTTCCTAGATCTTTAAATGATATGACCAATTAAGTTGAATTTTGAATAGATGAAGTAAAACTTCAGATTGACTTGACTTGGGTTAGGTTGGACATGCAATGGATTTTTTTCTTGCATTTTTATCAGCTATTTAATTTAATTTTATTCTTTTTTTGGATAATTATTCTTCTAGGATAATCAATGGTCAATTGTAGCAACTGTAAAATGGAGAATCAAACTTTTGCAATTTTGCGATGCATTTGTATCTGAAAAAGGTTGTCTTTAGAAATTATCTGAAATTTGTGCCAGTTTATTATATGGTTAACTAGTATTTATAAAAATTCTGAAAATGGAAATTCTTCTATTGCTTGTGTATTAGGATACTGAAAGTGTATCTCCCGATAAAGAATTGTACAAGAGAATCAATGACACTGTTAGTTCTCCATCTACTTCAGAACCAAAGGATGCCAATTCTCAGGCTGTGTCGAAGGATAACGTGCCCAATTTGAAAGGTGCAACGCCCAGCCCCAGTATTATTATAGGTGTATTCTCATTTCTACCGATGATTTATATATTTTCCTTTTTTTTCTCAGTCCTCTTTTTTGGCTGAAGATAACTGACTATTATTAATCATTTGCAGGTCCACCTGTAGAAAATAATGGTGTTGCAAAAGAAACTTCATCTCTGCCTAACAGAGTAAGCATATCTTATTGGCTAAAGATTTATGCAGTCTTGTATTTAAGAACGATTTGGTCGATCTATCCAACTGATTGGTCCGGTGTATTAACAAGTTGTAGCAGAGTAATGTTTTTCTTCTATTCTTTGGTGAACTGCTAATTTCCCTTTTTGAGACGAGAATTTGTGTTGAATTTGACCATGTTTCCATCCTCGACATTTATGTGAAACAGCTTTTAGTTCTTTATGCTTTATGTTCTTATTTGTAGGCTTTACGGAATTCTTAGCTTTTGTATTGTTGCAGACTGATGCGAAATCTGGGAATCATGACCATTCCATAGGTTCAAATGTTGGTGAGACTGAGAGATCTTGTGAACTTGAATTTGGGAGCTATTGCCTCTGGTCCAAGGAACACAGAGAAGTAATGAAAGATTCTGTTGTGAAGAGACTCAAGGATCAGTTGTTTGTGGCAAGAGCTTACTATCCAAGCATTGCAAAACTTCAGGGACAGGAAAACCTGACACGTGAACTGAAGCTGAACATTCAGGATCATGAGCGTATTCTTAGTGAAGCAGTTTCTGATCCTGATCTTCCACCATAGTAAGCAATATGTGATAACCTCTGGAAATTGTCTACTTGAGTTAGAATCTCTTTGTCGTTTGTGATACATTAATTAGTCTCTTTGATCCTGATCTTCCACCACAGTAAGCAATATGTCATAACCTCTGGGAATTGTCTTTTTGAGTTAGAATCTCTATGTCGTTTGTGATACATTAATTAGTCTCTTTGATTTTTCAGAATAGTGAATGTGCTGCTGGCTTATAAATGTTCAAACATTCATCTTTGGCCCAATATATATGCATACATAAAGTATGAATTACATTAGATATGTTGTCATAGAGACGAATCATGAAGTTCCATCCTCAAATAGTTGGTAATTTTGGCTTGTTCTTGTTGTTGAGATAAATTATTTGACTGCAGAAACTTCAACATTCTCCTAACTGATGAAATGTTGATTATGCTACTTGAAATTTTAATTTTTTGGTTGATTAAAACCAAATGTTGAAGTTCTAATGACCCACAAATTTTGAATGTTCTCTTTTTCTAATTAACGGCTCATATCCTAGTTTGAGTTCAAGTTCTTCACTGCAGTTTTCATTGAAATAACCTTTAGAAACTCCAATGTAGATGTTGCGTCACTTTTTTTTTTGTTTTCTTATTGTGAATTGTTTCTGAAATTTGGTATTCTACCCTTTCAGCATAGAGAGGAAGATGCACAAGATGGATCAGGTTATTGCAAAAGCCAAATCATGCTCTGTAGATTGCAATAATGTTGACAGGAAACTAAGACAGATACTTGATCTGACAGAAGATGAAGCTCATTTTCATATGAAGCAAAGTGCATACCTTTATCAGCTTGGTGTCCAGACCATGTCCAAAAGTTTCCATTGCCTTTCAATGAGACTGACAGTAGAGTATTTCAAATCTCCGTCGGCAGAGATTGAGCATTCATTTGCTAATAAAATCGATAATCCAAGTTCTCAACACTATGTAATCTTTTCAAGAAATATACTAGCATTATCGGTAACAATTAATTCTACCGTAATGAACTCCGAGGTATGGCATCCGAATCTTGATTTTCTCTGGTTTTGAACATGAAGATATTATTCCCAATGTTGTCAATGATATTACTTTTTGTTACAGGAATCTGATAACATGGTTTTCCATGTGCTCACTGATAAACAGAACTTTTATTCTATGAAGCATTGGTTTGCTAGAAATTCTTACAGAAATGCAGCAATTCACGTCTTGAACTTTGATGAGCTTGATCTTAATCATTTTGTGGGGTTAGATTTGGAAGCACTGTCAATGTCTGAGGAGTTCCGTATCTCCACTCATACTATTGCTCAACCATCCTCTCTGCAGATGAGAACTAAATATATTTCAGTATTTGGTCATTCCCATTTTCTTCTTTCCGATATATTCAAGAATCTAAAGAAGGTAATCGTTTTGGATGATGATGTCGTTGTCCAAAAAGATATATCATTCTTGTGGAATCTTGATTTGGGAGGAAAAGTAAATGGTGCCACAGAATTTTGTGGGGTCAAATTGGGTCAACTGAAATCATATTTGGGCACCAGTAGGTACGATGGTAATTCTTGTGTCTGGATGTCTGGACTAAACATAATTGATTTGGATAAATGGAGAGAACATGATATCACTGGAATGTACAGACGATTTCTCCGTGAGGTAATTGCTATAGATCAGATGTTGGTTTACTTGAGATTTTTGCCAATGTTTTAAAATTTGCTATAGCGTCTGTCAGGTTCCTTGGTGCACCTAAGCTGATCCACTTCCATTTAAATGGAACTTCCAGATGATAATGATATATATTGATTTTGACTATTTTTTTATTATCTAATTCTTTTGCTTTCACTGTGGATGACAGTTGAATCATGAAAATGAAGCATCATGGAGAACTGCAACACTTCCAGCAAGTTTACTTGTCTTTCATGGTCAGATATATTCTCTGGATGATACTTTGTTTCGGCAAGGACTTGGTCATGATTATGGAGTCCCCGATGAGACTGTAAAAAATGCGGCAGTGTTGCATTATGATGGCAACATGAAGCCTTGGCTTGATCTCGGCATTCCAAAGTACAAGAAGTACTGGAAGAAGTACCTTACGCAAGAAGAGAGGTTCATGGATGAATGCAATGTTAATCCATAACATCAGCTGTTGAGGCGTAGGACCATAATTGAGGCAAAGACTGGGTGACAGAATATTGCTTGCTTCAAATTTCAGTTAATTTCAGATATTGGATTTCGAGACATTGTATCCGCAGAGTACAGCAGAGGCATCGGGTACTTCAACCGTCGAGAGTCGTCCATAAAATTGGAGAAGTTTTTTTTATATTTCTGATTAATGAATATCCATAGGCTGCGCGACAACGAGAGCATTGGTTTAGTTTTTCGTTTCTCGACGAGGAGATGGGAAAAGAGACTGGGGTGTAGGAAGATAGTCTACAATAGTAGTATGTCGCAGGTAAGTTCACGTATTAGCCGATTGCATCATTCGTTTGTTATATAGTCTGAAGTTTGATGGATTGGCACCTCAAATTGGATCGATGCCATCCTTGGACCCGTGTAAATTGATTATTATTTTTTTTTTCCCTACTTTTTATTTTCAACCCTTGTTGTTCAATTTTCTTTTGCAATAAGGGTATAGTTGGTGTCTCGCGTCTGCAATTCTTTCTTTTGAAGTGCCAAAACTTGCCTGGAAAACTTGGTTAGTCAGAAATGATATTGTCTTTAGTATTCTATTGTTTAATTACTATTATTTTTAATGTAATTTTGCTGTGTCCATTTTTTATCTGCAATAAGGGTATAGTTGGTGTCTCGCGTCTGCAATTCTTTCTTTTGAAGTGCCAAAACTTGCCTGGAAAACTTGTTTAATGTAAACTTGGTTAGCAAAACCTTTCGCTGCACTTGCTGCCAGTGCTTCTTGTTTACTTTTGGCGTTAAGACAAAACAGAGCACAAACGCATTGCACCTGCCTGGCAAAAGTGCAATGAGAAGGTTTTGCTGTATTACTCGGCACCGACTTGATTTCTTTCGTTCGAACCTAATTAAGATATGCCACATGATTGTGATTTATTAGGTCCACCTGATTGTGATTAACTAGTTCTACGATGGGACTGTCCTCACTGTTTTCTGTAATACATTATCCATCGGATCTGGCTGTCGAGGCCGAGTAAAATAAATACATGTAGGATGATGCATTTATTAATTGTTTTGGGCTGGTTTATATGAATCTCTCCCATTGGAACAATTACCAGTTGGTTACGGTCGATCGAACATTGCTGCAGCAAAATTTCAGGCGGTTTAATGCTAGTTTATCTTTATCAGTTTAATTTAATTTTGAACCATGAGAATGTGTTCTTTGGTTGCTGACTCGATACGAAGATTTTCTTACATGAGCTTTTTGTTACACGTACACCGGAGATTAAATCTGACAGGTAACCGATTTAATGAACAACTCGCTTCACTAGGAATCCGAATTCCATGTATTGGACATGAACATGTTTTTAAGCTGTGAAGCTCAAAATAAATAAAGAAATGATAAACTCAAAACACAGGTACACGAAATTAATTAAAATAAAAAAGATAACCCACTGTAAGATAATAAAAAAAATCAAAAGGAAACTGAAATATAATCTAAGATATATAATATAGAAAAATTATGAAAATACTAAATAGAAATAAATTTAACCTTAAGAAATTTTAAAGTAGACAATGATATTAAGTAAAAACAAAAGGTTATATATGAAAAATAATTCTCCTAGACAGAGTAAAATAAAACAAATCCATCATTCGGACATTAATTTTTAAATTTTAAAATAAAATAACAAGTCAGAAGATCAATTTTATAAACTTAAAAGATTGAAAATAAAAGAAAAAACTATATATAAAAGAAATATAATTTAAAATAGATAAAATAATTTTTTTAATAATTGCTAAGAGTTAAAAATTGTGAAGGATATAATTATAATTAATTTTTAAATATGATGCATCTATAAAGAAAATGTCAAGAGTCAAATTTAGGAAATAAAAAAAGTTAAAATGACAATCCCAAAGAGTTTGAGTGATCTTGGACGGACATCAAAAAGGATGCTGTTCTAAAATATGAGACAACGAATCCTTTTTTTTTCACCTAGTTTTGAATTTAACTATATATATATATATATATATGTATATATATATATATATGTATATATATATATATATGTATATATATATATATATGTATATATATATATATATATGTATATATATATATACATATATATATATATACATATATACATACATACATGTATATATATATACATACATATATATATATATATATATATATATAGCCGGTTACTATTCATTTATTTAATGCACCTATAGTGTTCCATGTTACTGTAATTTTTTTTATTCAAAGATCGTGTAGTCTTAATCATTGACTTGATTATAGGTTTTTGATACATCATAAGATAAATTGTATGAGAGTTTATGTGGTTCTAAATGACAATAAGACGACAAATCCTTTTTGCCCCCCATTTAGTGTTAGTTTAGATCTATATATTTGTATTCACTTATTTTGAGAAAATGACAATAAAATAGTGTGAGCGATTACGTGGCCACAATATTTTTTACATTTACATTTCTGATTACTAAGTCGAAATGTTGTAACTCTTTTCAAAAGCACTATAATCGATTTTGTTCAATATTAAATATATTTAATTAAAAATTGATCCAATTGAGTTGGAATTCAACGATATCCAACCATCCTTCTTTTTTTTTTTTTTTGTTTCCGAGGCACTTTGATCTGATCGTCGTTTTGCAAATAGAAGATTGGAAGGATTCTCCGGAGACCAAATACAAAATGGGGTTTTTCCTACGAAATCATCCCATGTAATTTATATGCCATGATCCATTCTTTTTACTTTTATACAAATTCAGCTTAAACTAAGAAAAGGTTCAGATATTCTTTAAAGAATATATTTATTTTTTTCCTTTTTACGATGACTGTTTTTACTAAGTTTAATTTTAGTGGTTGATCGAAGAATCATTTTGAAAGAATGACAATAAAAAAAGGTTATTATATATATAATGTAAATGATAGATGACAAAGATGGGATTCAGGATCTTATGATAATTATCAAAATCTTTACCTCATAAGTCAACTAACACTAGTCATTAAACCAAGATGTTATGATTTTTAAAAATATAATATAATCAGTTTGATTTAATAGTGAATTGATTTAGTTGAACATCAACCGAGTGGAATTTCATTCGGATCCAAACACTTTTTTTTGTCGAAATGAAATATTTTGTAAAACTAAATCTCCTCCAATGAAACAGAAAATCAGGAATTGATACCCTATGCAAAAATATATATAAATACAATGAAAACCAAGAACAAGTCAACATATTCTTCCGACTTTGTTATAGATGAATTTTTATAAAAAAACTTTATGTTTAAAATTTTCCTAAATAATACTCTTTAACTTTTTTTTTACAATAATGATCACTATGCTTTCGTAAATCACCACTCTACGAGAGCACATTAATCTTTATCGATCCCCACCTAACTAATAACAAAGACATAACCTTTCTACGACCAATTATTAAGTTTACCCCTCTCTTTCATCATTCACAAGCAATGATAAGGAGAGGGGGGGGGGGGAGAGGGGTTACTTGCAACGACGAGGATATGAGCACGCTCATAACCTCCTCCCTTACTAACGATCGATGGCGAGGAGTAATTGATCCCTCCGTGACCAACGAAAGAGAAGTGAAAAATTCTTAAATTTAGAGATTATTTTTCAAAAATTCACCCGTTTCATATTAATGAAATATTTTAAAATGTTAAGCCTAACAAAAAAAATAAATAAATGCTAATATATCAAATTCTTTAGAAAAATGGTCTTCATTAATGTGGAGACTGTGAATCTTTACATGAAGCCAAACCAAGTGCCGACGAGCTGATAATGCCCATAAAGATCAATCTTCACACCACTCTCATTCACACACAGTACAATGCACCGCTAAGCTCGGCGTCTTAAGTGTAGGGAGGCGGCTTGGGGAGGCTGGCGACCGCCCCGCAGAGCAAAACCGTGTCCGGCAGGCTGTACTCGTCCCTGAGCGACCGCGCCGGTGACTGCACGCTGATGTAGAGCTGCTGGCCCAGGTAACGCCTCTCCCACAGCTCCGACCTCAGGTTCCACATCCCGGCGTTGTCGAACGTCAGCATGATCGCCGTCCATGACTTGGGGTACACCTGAATCGCGTGCCTGCTCACCGCGTCGAGGAGGTTGTACCGCTTCCTACTCTCCGGCTTCCACTTCCCTGGCCCCATTCTGCTCCCCATGATAAGCAAATGGCGAGTCAAATCGGATCCATGAGCGAGTCAGTGAGAAGGAGAGAGCAGAGAGATGAAGTACCCGACGGCGAAGAAGGAATAGCCATCCAAGTGGTAGAACTGCGGCCCCTTCTCAGGGTTCTCGAAGATGACCTCCACGAAGGTCCTGAACTCCACCGTGATGACGTTGGGGGCCAGGTTGACCGGACCGCTGCCCTCCCGCGGCTCGTCGCCGGTGAGGTTGTACTTGAAGAACTTGTCAGCGACGCCGAAGTATTCCAGGTGCTTGAGCGGGGTGTCGACGTCCACGTGCGAGACGCCATTGAGCGCGAACCGGCTCTTACCGCCGACGACGGCGCGCGAGTTGGCGAACTTGATGGTGCGGGTGATGTTGATGCTGCCGTAATGAAAGGAGCCCTGGGGATTCGGCCGGGCGGCGCTGGCGGTGAGGTTCCATCGGAAGGAGCGCCACTGGTTGAACGACCAGGCCCAGCCCGTGGGTGCCTTGGGGAGGACTGCCGACGGCGGGACCTTGGAGCCAGCGTAGCGGACGATGCCAGTGGCGGTGAGCTCCTTCTTCATGAACCGGGTGGACGCCACCAGGTAGTAGTCGCCGGGGGCCTGGTTGGCGGTGACGAGGACGGAGTAGCACTGCCCAACGTGGACGTCGAGGGAGTCGTACAAGTTCTGCATGGTGTGCGACCCGTCGATCTCCACCAGCTCCATGGAGTGGCCCTGGATGCGGAAGTTGAGGGAGGCCCTGATCCCGGTGTTGCAGATGCGGTAGCGGTAGACCTTCCCGGACTCCATTACGAACAGCGGCTTGCCGTCTTTGCCGGTTCTGTCCTTGCCGGTCTTGCCGTTAATGATGACGCCGTCGGGGAGGCCGATGCTGCGGCCCGCGTCGAGGATCCCGGCGAGAGCCTTGTGGTCCTTGGCATACCAGTCGCCGATGAGGACGGTGTAATCATCGGCTGGGGGGTCGAACGGCACCGGGATGAGGAGGCGACTGTTGATCCGGAGGCCACCGAAGCCACCGGCCGCCTTGTGCATGCCCAATGACGGGAAGTAGAAGAAGCTGCCGATCTGGTCCTTCACCTGGAAGTGGTAAGTAAAGTTCTTGCCGGGCTGGATGGGGCAGTTGGTGCCGGCCAGACCGTCTTGCCACGAGTTCTTCCTCTGCTGAATCCCGTTCCTGCACAGACCATCGACAAGCACATGTCGAGCACCGATCGACGACTGGGAGACAGCGAAGATCGAGAGGTGACACTGACCATGAGAGAAGGAAGGGCTGATCGAGGTTGTTGAAGACGTTGATGACGATGTTGTTGTTGGTGGTGGAATTGATGTTGGGGCCGGGAAACTGGCCATTGATGAGGATGCCCTGCTGAGGGACGCCCAAGGGGGCGATGGTGCCGTAGGTCACGTTCCACGTGAAGAAGAGGTAAGGGTCCTCGGCGCGGACGCCGGAGAGGCCCAACACCAAGCACAGGGCGATGAACACGGCACCCGACATCTCTCTCTCCCTCCCTTCTTTAGCCGGCCTGGTTAACAGTGTCTCCCTCGGTCTCTCTCTCTCTCTCTCTCTCTCCCTCCCACCTCCCTCTCTGTCCTTTCGGCTGCAACAGCTGAAGGATGTGAAGAGTGGCAAATGGAGAGGAGGAAAGCTAGCCGGAGGCCATTGGAAGATCCCAGCTACCGCTTGGAGAAGATGAAGTGGAATTGGCGGAAGGCCAACTGGGAGCTTCGGTTTTTGCTCCATGGCCACGACCTGGTTTTATAGCTGGCAAAGAAGACGCGGTTGGATCGATGGGTGGAGCAATTTGGGCCTCCACGACCGGTCAAACTCTTCTCTCCTTCACCCGTTCTCCTCTCGATGCTCTCCTCTCTCCACACCATCCATGCACGCTCCTCTTTTCTTGCAGTTTATATAGGATTACTTTGGACTAATGGAAGTACCAACACGAGCATGAATTCTTTGATTGTTTCATGAGGCATTTAAAAAGGCTATAATTCTGTCACTTGTGCAGAATTATAGAATGAATATTGCACCGAATATTTGTAAATGTCAATAAATTGCTAAAGTGCATGTATAATATTGGATTAATTTAAGCGTAATTCTATTATATTTGTCGAATCATGTTGTATCGAAACTATAATCTCGATGATTATTATAATCAATAATCAAAGTTTTTACTGGCTAATAAACTATGCATACTTACGATGCATGAAATATACTTTGGAGAATTGGACTTGCATCTTATCACTCGGATGACTCCTTCGAGCCATAATATTAAAAAAATTTGATCTATTAATTATATAAGGTAAAAAATCATGATTCGAGTTCAATCAAATTCAAATAATTAGATGCTTATATAAAATTCGAAATCTTCATGCATGACCTCTCGATACGGATGTGCAATCTCAAGATTTTTAATTGGACTTACCGGAACCTTTTTGTACCGGACACGAATTGCATCCTATGCTTGTTATTTTTGACACATATGTTGTATGAGATCAGACAGACCAACCAAGCACGTCTTAATATTTAATTTGAGATTAGGCGTCGTCGTGCACTGCTTATCATTAGGATGATTTATATAAAATTCTATATATGTAAATAATGTTCGATGAACATAAAAATTTTGATAATAGAATTCACGAATTGTTTTTGCAATATTCTTATTAATGAAACATTTTGTGCCGTTCGATCTTATACATACATATATGTTAATTGTGAAGTAAGGCAAATTATCCAAACAAGCCCCAAGTTTTTTTTTCTTTTTTTTTTTCCAAAGAAACATCCCCGTTCTATATATTCTCATACAGTGTCTCTTATTTCTTAAAATATAATATTACCTCTTATCTCAGTCTTGTTATCTTGTTGTAATTATGTTTGTCTCTTGTTGTCGCTCGTCGTCTTCGTCTTATCGTGTAATGCATTCTTTATCACTATTCATCTTCACTCGTTTTCATTTATCGAGTATACTTTTGCTTTTGTCCATCGTCCTTGCTTATATCCTTATCTATTATTAACAATGCATCACTAAGGTCTCATCGTCGATGTTGACGAAGGAAAGAAGATTGAAAAAAAAGAGGTGGTGCTTCATCTCCACTCTTCTCCTCTCATCACGTTAAGACATTACAGTGATAAAAGATAAAAACGAAAAGACGAAGATTATAGATAATATTATATTTTAGAAAAATAAGGGATACTATTCGAAGGTAAATGAAAAAAAAGACATTCATCGAGGAAAAAAAATAAAAAAATTGTTTTTTTAAATTTTTTTTGAGGAATTTGCCCTGTTTCATATGTGCATCATATATATTATACTAGACACCTAAATAGGGGGGCTTTAACCGCTAAATGCATTATGTTCACGTACTGTCATTAATGTTGTATTTTGCTACAGAAACTTTAATTTTTTAGTCTCCATACGCACATCATCTGTTATGGTGTAGGATAGACTGGTGTTGGCCAACGATCGAGTAGTCTCATCACAACAGCAGCATTAAAACTCGACGAAAGGGGCACAAAAAGAGACGCTGCACCCACGAATCACGTGCCACACCCGTGCCGGATGACGCTTTCTTTTCCTTTTTATAAATTTTCAATTTACGTGCCCACCTACTCCGAGAGGCCTTCCGGTGGGTCCCACGCTTGCTCATTTATGATGATGCCATCTCCAGCCGGTACAGGCTGCGGGTTCGTTCGTCGGTCGTGGCAGAATCGACGCTTGTTTCTTTTTTGTTGGGGGGCAGGGCGCTCCGCTCCGTTCAATTCGAACCGACGGCGTCATGGGCCCACCCACTCCTCGCCGGGGGCCTGCTCGCGGGAGCACGTCTCGTCTCGCACGTGCGAACCCTCGCTCGCTTCAAACCCCGACCCACAACCTACCGACTCCCACGTGCCTCGACCCCCAAACAAATCTCCGCTCTCCCCTCTCTCCCTCTCGTCCCCAATCCCATTTCTTCTCTCTTCCCCCCTCATTCCTTTTATTTTATTTTTTTTTGTTTTCTTTCCCTTTCTTCCCATTCCACTCGCCGGTGAAGGGATCACGAGAAGAGAAGCGACGACGGGAGGCGAAGCCGTCGCCCATTCGGTCCGATCTGCAAGTATTTCTGCTGGTCCGCGAACATTTCCTCCAAGGTGAAGAGAGGAGGGGTGCGGCGCGATGTCGACGGAGGACGAGAAGTTGCTCAAGGAGGCGAAGAAGCTGCCGTGGGAGGAGCGGCTCCTCCATAAGAACTGGAAGGTGCGGAACGACGCCAATATCGATCTGGCCGCACTCTGCGACTCCATCACCGATCCGAAGGATCCGCGCCTCAAAGAGTTCGGTAAGCCCCGATCCTGTCTCGATCGGGTTCGTTCTCGTCTATTCTGGCCTTTTCCGTGTCCGCTTCCACTTGATCTGTGGGTTTCTTGGTCGGGTGGATGAGTGGTGACGCGGATGAACAGAATTTTGTAGGTTGATTTTTTTGTCACTAGGTAGTTACTGAATCTTGACTGAAGCTGTTAGTTTTGATTGATTTGGAATTTTTGTCGATTAGGGCCTCTCTTCAGAAAGACTGTGGCGGATTCCAATGCGCCAGTGCAGGAGAAGGCGCTGGATGCCCTAATTGCGTTTTTGCGTGCTGCGGATGCTGATGCTGGGAGGTTGCTTATTTCTTCTCTGTTGATACTGGTTTTGGCGACAGTATTGCCTCCGGATTGTTTATGGAGTTATTTCTCTATTTTGTTGTAGGTATGCGAAGGAAGTCTGTGATTCCATCGTTGCTAAATGTCTCACCGGCAGGCCGAAGACAGTAGAGAAAGCACAGACTGCCTTTCTTTTGTGGGTGGAGTTGGAGGCAACCGAAGTGTTCTTGGTAAGAAGGGAATAACTTCCATAGACACCCTTCTCAGTGTTTGCTGAAAACATTGCTTCTTGCTTATATTCTTTCGATTGTAACTGTCCTTCTAGACAATTCTGACCAGTTCTGTGAAGCATGAACTGGCATTCTGCTTCTTATTGTCATTTGCATTTTTGGCGTATGTGTCCCTGTTTCTTTATTTTTATAGTTTTCTTAGCATATAACTCCAAACTAGAAACATAAACAAGGCTTCAACTGTTGTGAACTCTATGTTTGTTTTAGATTTCTTGTCATGTGGTTATCCGTGATTCACTTCTGAGCTTGGAATACGAGCTTAATATGTCCCTGTTTCTTTATTTTTATAGAGTTTTCTTAGCATATAACTCCAAACTATAAACATAGGCAAGGCTTCAACTGTTGTGAGCTCTATGTTTGGTTTAGATTTCTTGTCATGTGGTTGTCCATGATTCACTTCTGAGCTTGGAATAAGAGCTTAATATGCTTTGTGTGTTTCTAATCTGTTCAATCTTGAGTTTCATTCTTGCCATTTGGCATTCCTGTTCCTGTTATTTCTTTTTCCGTTAACTGATCTAGTGACATAACGTCATACAAATTAACTGTTAACATTGATAATTTATATATGAAGCAAAACTTGATATTTCCTCGAGTAATTCAGCTCCAGAATTTGTTTGAGTCTCATCTTTTGGCCACTGCTCTTGGAAGATACAAATGATAACTTCTCACCAAATGTCTTAGAGACTAGGAGTCTTGACTTGTCCTTCTAATCTGGATGTTAACCTGTTGATGCATGGATACAATCATGGATTTCATGAATCTGTATATCATTCTGCTGTTGAACTGGTATATAGGCTAATTTAAAAATGAAGTATTTGCTTCTTCATATAAGGAGGAAGTAGGATTAAATAGTATCATGTATATGTTGAATATTGGAACAGTCATGTGTTTAACTGTTTCAGCTTTTATACACGTGCTCGATCAGAGACAGAGATACTGGGAACAAATGGCTAGAAAGCCGGTATCAGTATTTATTCCAGTGAGCATGGGCAAAAATCAGAGATTTGTCAGATATATTAGTTAATTATTATTTATTGATTATTACACTCTTTGAAACTGATTAGATATCAATCGGAAGTTTACTGATAAAAACTCAAGACAAGTCAGCACATAGAACATAGTAAAATTATATGCTTAAGGGACTTGAATTCTCTTTCATGTTTTCTTGGTTGGCATTGTTATATTGAAAATATGGTGCATTGGTGGCGGCATTGTGTACCAAACCTCCCTTTTTGGTATGTTATTATAGATTCTTCTTGAAAATGTGACATTGTGCAGACTCTAATCAGATTCTGGTGTATACACTTAATTATGCTATAAGCTGTAGATTATGTTGAAGATGGCTGTTTAAACTTTTCATTTAGATTAATATTATTTTTTTAAAGAATTTTCTTCTAGCTCTTGTTACTGTTGAGCATTCCCCAAAATACAGAAAAACCAGTTATATCACTGTGATTTCTGAGGGTAAGTTTCTGCAAGTAATATCCAAGAACCAGTCATCTCGTAATGCTGTGCTGATTATGTAGCTACATTTTAGGTATAAAAGCTACATATAAGATATTTCAAATTATTTTTATTTTCCCACTAATATTTTAAATGTTTATTTGAGTTTGTGTGCATCCACGTGGGCTGCATCGGCATGTACATGTGTTGTGTGTTGAGTGTGTGTGCATGCACCTCCACTTGTGGGTATGACTGTTAATGTGCACGTCCAAGTCCACATGCATATGGACATGGACATGCTGTGTGCGCGCGCGCATGTCTGCACGTATACATGTGTGCATTCTGTGTGTCCTGTAAGGGGGGTGTTATGTTTGTTGGGGGTTGAATGAGTGGTGGTGGGGTATTGAGGTTGTGACTTTTCTTACTGTTGGGGTGATGGCTGATTTATAGGTTGGAGAATATTTTTAAATTGAAGGCAAAAAAAGCTACCTATGTGTTTCTACCTTAGCATTAAATTTATGTTGTTATCATTGTGTTGCTTTATATATTTTGTATTGCTGGCAAATTTTCTTGTTGTTAGGTTTGATTAGAAATGCATCTTCATTACATTTAAGAGCTAAACTACAATAAGATGGTAGTTGACTGAGTAGTAATATTCTCAATGGTCTGCCGATGCCTATGCTCTGTGGTCCTTTCCTAGTTCATTGTGCACCATGACTTATATGGTTGTTTGGTTGGAATCTTTCAGTATATTTTACCAAACTTTCTGAAGTCAATTATATTGAATCTCAGGAAGCAATGGAGAAAGCAATAAAAAATAAAGTTGCTAAGGCAGTTGTGCCTGCAATCGATGTGATGTTTCAGGCTCTTAGGTGTATATCAAACTCATTCTTATTCTATGTTTCATTTCTTCTAGGTTTCCGTTCATTCTAGATCTTTAGAACTGACATTCCTTTTACTTGCTTGCTCTAGTGAATTTGGGGCAAAGGTGGTTCCTCCGAAGAAAATTCTTAAAATGCTTCCTGAACTTTTTGATCACCAAGATCAGAATGTTCGGGCATCTTCAAAAGGGCTTACTCTTGAACTATGTCGTTGGATTGGAAAAGAACCAGTAAAGTCTATTCTATTTGAAAAAATGCGAGATACTATGGTAAGATTCTGGTCATTTAATTGTCATGATCTAATGCTAATATGTACTGCTGAATTAACCTTTCTAATCATATGAAGAAAAAAGAGCTGGAAGCAGAGCTTGTTAATGTCTCTGGAATTGCTCGGCCTACTCGAAAAATAAGGTAATCTAGTTATTAAATTTAGTTTGTTTCATAAAGTTATCTTACTAATATGCTCTCTCTTCGTTGAATGTCTAATATTTATATTTTATAATAGAGATCAAATAGGACCTTTCTGAAAGAGTATAACAGTTAATCATACTGGAGTATCAGCATGTTACATGCAATAAATTAGTCATTGCTTTTTTAAATCAAGGATTTAATGGATGTTTGTTCATATTCCTTTCTTATTATGCATTATACTCAAAACTTGAAGGAGGTATGTGGTATATTTTTCATGATTATTGAATTTAGTCTGGAACAGTAATTGTCTTTTGTTTAGGAAGATTCTTTTGGATATGATCGTTATTAATCATTTATATATGATTAGGAAACCTTCTGTAAATATTTAGGTTTCATTTCCTTTATATCAAACCATGAATGTAGGGCTTTTAAATTAAGATCAACTTAATTGATTATGAAGTCACTCAAACGAACAGCGTAGAAACTAAAACCCCATAATTTTACATAATTACCAAATTAACTAAAAAACAACAGTCTAAATACCCCTTTGTCATGGAAGTATGATTTAGATCATTTCAATTAGGGCTATTTGGAACTTGTGTTTTTGGAGCCTATGCCCAAGGTAATGCATGCATTTGTAAATGCAACATTTGCAAATACAAGGCTTTGTGTTTGGAAACCTGCATTTTGGTGTCGGACAGACCTCTTGGAACAAAGAAAATATATTATTTTTATATTGAACATGATAGTTGTATAATAGAAAAAGAGAAGATATTATATGAGATTAATGAAGAAGAAAAGGGACAAATATCACTCACTTAGCCTCATGGATTAACTCCTAGGATAAAGGCTTCACACTTCCACATGTTCCAAATGTGGATGATGCAATTGTTCTATCGGGCATAATTACTAAATTGGCCCAGTTTCTAGGGGGTCACTCCTAGGGATGGTGGTCTGACACTACTCATATGTGGAAATTAAAAAAAATTCAGTTGTTTAGCCATGTTGTTCAATGAAATATATATATATTTTTCCTTAAATAGCATTTTGAGTATAAAAAGAACAAGAAAAACTAAAGAAATATGGAAAATACAATCAAGAAAAATGATGAACCTTAAATCAAATCTAATTGATTGTCCTACTTTTTAGGGATTATTTGCTCCCACATCTATTTTGTGAGATAAAATTTGGTTTTACATAATGTTTTCTGTTATAGACTTTTTTCTTTATAGATTCTTAATCAAATCTCAACTTTCTTCTAGGGATTAAATTTTCAATCAATCCCTACAATATTTAATCATGCTCAATGTTGACTTCTTCTACATTTCTTGTTCAGCTTGCTGTTTCTTCTCCTCTAGTAACTTGGGAAAAAAAGTAGAAATATAAAAGATGCTCCCATGTGACAACTTATGATGTTTGTAACCCCTTCCCCTCCTCTCCTGAAAAATAGTGAATTTTATTAAAAAAAAAAAAAGGCCGCGCATGCCTAACAGAAGAGGAGGATATCTTGAGAAGATTTAGCCTCATAGCCACCGAAGTGTCCTGCCCAAAACAGACAGCTTTTGTTTTACATAATTTGATCACATGACCTGATGTCATTACATGAACATGCAAAACAAACTTGATGCCTCTAATTCTCTTCATTGAGAGTCCAAGGATATGATACTATCTAAAAGGAAAAAATCATAATAAGAGAGTTGGTGCCAAGGCCAAAAATCATCCACAATTTTCACAAAGTAGAAAATACAACTTAATCTCAGACTTGACTTGAATATTACTCAACTAAGAGTTATACCTTAGGATGCTTTCTCAGTATCTTGTATCAATTGGTTCTTCTTGTACAATCATTTCAGTTCTTTTTGTCCAAATTTATAATCCGCACTCTTCCACTAATTGGTGAAGAACTTTTTGTTCTCATTTCAAAACTTAGCATGGAAACATCCTTCAAATATCCATGAGGGCACACTCAAGGTTTTTAAGTATGCTTAGGGAAGTAGGTGTCCGTGGATACATGTTGCAGTGGTTTCTTTGTGCTAAACTTGATGTGATTTTTCTTCAAATGATTGTTTTCATTTTTATGCTTCTCTCACGATCTAACGGAGCTTTCTTTTCCTTTTATTTTATCATTTGACATTTAATAGTCACTGCAGCAGTGAAGTATCGTTAGCTCTGATAAGTTTTGGAACATTAAATGTTTTGTTATTTTTGTACTTTGGTAATTGTTAATATTGTTTCTTAGAGCTAATTGAAAGTATACTTTTTGGTACTTTAAGATAACCAGTGCAATATAAACCTTTATCATCTATTTGTCTATGGAGCTGAACTTTCATTAGTAGTAGTGATGGCTATGCTATATAAATTACCTTTGAATATACTATTTTAAATCTTCATGTTGGTTTAAAAATATTTAAACCTGGTCAAATTCATCAAATATTAGGTCTTCCCAATGTTTTTTTTTTCTTCGGTTGTCCTTGGCACACTTGCACATGCACCTTGTTTTTATTCTTTAACTTATAAATTGGATATCAGACATTATATACGTCATGATCCAATATTTTGATATGGTGACTAGGCTAATGTGTATGTTGCATTTTAACTTGTATGTTTGTCATATGTCTGAAGCATGAAAATATTTTCAGTAGACATTTTAGGATGGATAAATAAAACTTGCAAAGACATAATGCTGTTTGGATGCTCAAACTTCTAATAGTGCATTTTGTTTTTTAGTTTTTATATCATTTCTGTACGATATAATAAACAAGACTTATTTTGTTTTTAGATCAGCAAGACTTATTTTGTTTTTAGATCAGCAAGACTTATTTCCTTTTGCAATTAGTTCATAATAAAGGGGATATTAAAAAATTAGCTAGTTTTTGTTTATGAGTAATATATATTTTTAAAATATGTTTTAGATCTGAGCAAGACAAGGAACCAGAACAAGAAGTTGTTTCTGAAACTCTGGGTGCTGGTGCTTCTGAAGAATCTACTGTGGATGGTAAGGGAATTAAAAATATTCTTTTGCTACTTAATATAAATTTGGCTGCTAGTTTGAACAAATTCTCCATTTTGATAAATGGATTTTTTGTTTGCTTCACAAATTGTGCTAATATATTTCATCTTTCAGCCCCTCAAGAAATAGATGAATACGAGCTTGTTGATCCTGTGGACATTTTGACACCTTTGGATAAGTCTGGCTTTTGGGATGGAGTGGTTAGTTCTTTTTCTTATGTTGTTTTCTGCCTATTCTATATGTTGGTAGATTGTACATCTGAAATATTAGGTCTTTATTGGTAGGCTGTTTCTTTGTCTTTTTATCTGAATAATCATGTGTGCCATCGTGTTATACTAGAAAGCTGTTAAATGGTCTGAAAGGAGGGATGCTGTTGCTGAGCTTACTAAACTTTCTTCAACTAAAAGAATTGCTCCTGGTGATTTTAGTGAACTCTGCCGGACCCTCAAAAAGGTACCACTATGGTGTGCATATAGACTTGATTCCATGGCTTGGTATTGGCTAATTTGCTGTTCATTGTAGACCCAATTTCTGTATGACTTTTAATTTTGATGGAATGTTCTGGTTTAGGGTTCCGAACTTCATGACTTGAGTGTTCTGTAATCCGTAGCACCAACAAAATTTCTTAAGTTTTGCTTTCTGTTGCCCGAATATTTGAAATGAGGTTCATGGCTCTGATAATGGCTTTATTTGCTAAGGTGGTACACATCCTTTACAGGTTTATTATATTGTGCACATTGCTATATTTGCAGCTTGTCACAGATGTGAATCTAGCTGTTTCTGTAGAGGCAATTCAAGCAGTAGGAAATCTGGCAAAAGGTCTGAGGAATCACTTTGCTGCAAGCTCACGATTTCTGTTACCTTTACTACTTGTGAGTACTTAAAAGTCCCCTTTTGTCATCCTTTTTAACATATTGAGGTCCCAGACACTTTCATTATTGTAGAATGGTTTTCTTTCATAAAGTCCTCTTTCTTCAGACCTACAGTTTGTTTGAAATTTGATTATGCAACAGGCTCATAAACATTTACTTCTATGTTTCGTTTACCAGGAAAAGTTGAAGGAGAAAAAACCAGTTATGACAGAGGCTCTTACTCAAGCTCTTCAAGGAATGCACAAGTCTGGATGTTTGACACTTGCTGATGCTATTGAAGGTGAGTCTTATTTGAATAACTATTATGCTGCTCCATTGTATGCGAGATAGTAGGTGATGCTTGTCGTACTCCAGTTGTGCATTTTCAGTTAGTATGTACTGTTTTCTATATACTGTGCCCTGTGATTATTTCAAGCTATAACTTTATTCAGTATAGTAAAGTTATTCTAAACTGTTCAATTTTTGTATTCATTTGTGCAATTGAATCCTTTTATATACCTTTTCGTTGATGTGTTTTCAGTGACTAGAATTTTAGTAATCTTTCTAAGATCTGGCTGAGATACAATCATGACATGAATGCTTGATTGAACTAGAATTGTATATATCCTTTCCTTGATGTGTTTTCAGTCAAGGTTTGCAATTTCGAATCGTACTAGACGGTATGTATTGGTCCGCCCGTGAATAGGTACGCGGACCGCCACTACCAGTCGGCTTGCTTGATATAGCGGCCTGGTTGTGGCGAGACTGAGGGAGAAGCATCGAAGAAGGAAGAAGAAGAGGTTGTTCGAAGAAGAGGGAGAATCGGTAGAACCTCGGTGCGAACTTGTTTCCATGCCCTTTCTCGATCCCGATCCAGTGCTGCCCTCTCTCGATGATCTCGATCCAGGAGGTAACAGTGAGGAGAGTCGTAAAGAGGAGGATCTGGAGGTGCGGGGATCAGGGGAGGCAGTAGATAGAGCAGCAGAAGAGACGGTCTCCTTCATCGCCTCGTTTGCGACTCTGCGACCTTCTTCTTTGCTGAAGGCCGGAGACGTCTGTGACCTTCGACGTCTTTGTCGCCTTCTTCGTTGAATGCCGCAGACGAGGAGAAGAGGAGGAGGTGACGTTGCCGAGGCAACGTATGCCTTTTTTAATATATATATATATATATATATATATATATATATATATATATATATATATATATATATATAGGCATACCGCTCAGTACGTCATACAACGTACCATATCGTACTGAGCAAAACTCGATACACCGGTATGGTACGAAATTTCAAACCTTGTTTTCAGTAACTAGAATTTTATTAAACTTTTGAATATCTGGCTCAGATACAATCATGACGTGAATGCTTGATTATTTCAAGCTATAACTTTACAAAGTAAAGTATTCTAAACTGTTCAATATTTGTATTCATTTGTGCAATTGACTTTTATATATCTTTTCCTTGATGCGTTTTCAGTAACTAGAATTTTATTAAACTTTTTAATATCTGGCTCAGATACAATCATGGCATGAATGCTTTTATATGTTTTTATATTGATAAACATATCGAAAAATGTTGAACTTTAAGATCTGATTACCATGAGTATGTGTTCAGAAACAGACACTAAAAGTAACCAATAACAGAATTTAAATTACCTCACTTTTAATCCTGTAATTGTCATCTAATTGTTGGCAGAATTGGACTGAATATTTACTTTTTAATCAGTTTTTAACAATTAGAAAAAGTTTTGAGTCTTAACTAAGATGCCTTTTGGCGTAGCATGACCTAGCAGGTTCAGCTTGAACATAATTAAAAAGTCGATTGAACAATGCACGTTTCTTTTTTAAAAGCCATGAAAATGAGTCAGAAATCATGATCGCAACCTTGTGCCGTGAGCAATTGCAACTAGTTATCAATCTATCTACAGGGGAGATAAGACAGCTTTAATCCCATGCAATGGGCTGGTGTCAAAGGAAAACCAGCTAAACAACAGAAGAATAGGACCACCCTGATTGTTGATCAGATAATGAGGGAGCAAAATAGTTGATCATGGATACTCTAATTCCTTTAAAAAAAGTTCCAGCAAGTTTGAGACTTATCTTGCTTAGGTGCTTTTTCAATTATGTTTTTAGGGTAAAATAACTGAAAATTAAATTTGGACTGCACAAATATAGTACTACATCACAGACAATTGTGTGAATTTCAGCTTGTCCTGTTCATCTTTTTTATGCTTCTCATCTAAGTCATTTTGTCGAAAACAGATGGAACTTTTATGGTAATTAACTTATACCTTTATATTATTGTCAAGGAAGTTGCAACTAAACTTTTGATGTACTCTGTGGTATCTAATCTGATATTTGATTATGCAAAATTTTGACTGTCATCTGACAAGTTTTACCAGGCTGTCTTATTAGCTTTGTTAGCTTCTCTCTGCTTTCTGAATAATTAATTGCTTGTTGCTGCAGATGTTAAATTGGCTATCAAGAATAAGGTTCCACATGTGCGCTCATTAACATTAAACTGGGTCACATTCTGTATCGAGACAAATAACAAAGCAACTGTTCTTAAATTGCATAAGGATTATGTACCTATATTTCTGGAGGTTAGATAGGAAGAATTGTTCATTTCTTACCAGAACACCACAACATAACTTAGTTGTCATTGCATCTGTTGCCTTTAAATACAATTTTCTAATTACAATTTGCAGAGCCTTAATGATGGTACTCCTGAAGTGAGAGATGCTGCTTTTGCTGCATTGGCAGCTGTAGCTAAGGTATTTGCATATGAGAGGTGCATTTTTGTATCTTTTTCACCAGTGGAAAACTATTTCTTAGTTTAAACGAGGAATTATTGCTTTGTTATAGATGGTTGGCATGAGACCTTTAGAAAGATCATTAGAGAAACTTGATGATGTCAGAAAAAAGAAACTCTCAGATCTGATTGGAAGCTCTGGTGGTGGTGAGAACTCTACTTCAGGAGAAGGTGCGAAAATCTAGTTACATTTTGGTTGAGTTGGTAGTTTTGAGTTTTTGTTGATGTTTGTCGTACTTATCTTTGATTATTTTGCTGCCAGTTACAATCTTAAATTCAACCACCAGAATATCCAGTAATGGGGTAAGTTTCTTTTCTTATTCTCCTTTGCACAACCATGCTGGTTGTGATTATTGTTTTATCTACCTATTTTTCATTGGACAACATAAAACTAGATAATTTGAATGGGAGTTTGTTAGCCAGAACTTGTTAGCCATGCTGGAATGATCTGAGACTTGAATGATATGGTAAACCAATGGCAATATTTGTCAGACTCGGATGTCCACATTTTTTTCTATAGAAGCCTAATTTAGTAATGTATGCTCCCATACACATATCGACGTCCACATTTTTATGTATAGAAGCCTAATTTAGTAACGTGTGTTCCCATACGCATACTGTAATCAATATAAATGTAGATGACAATCATCTTGAAGTATATGACACATGTTTTAACTTATCTGAAAATGTTGTGGTCTGGGTTGTTGGACTTCTGCTGCTGCTGATCTTGGTGGTCCAACGTTGCTGACCAGTTCTCCCTTTTTCTGTTGTGCATCTTCTCTGCTCTTCACTTCCTTTTTTCTTCTCATCCCTACTACTCTTTCCTCTCACCTCTACAAAGATTCTACTGCCATTGCCACCTGGTTCCCTCTTCTTTCCCCTCCAATCTTTCTCCTTCGTGCTCAGCTGCGGACTATGCAGAAACCTCCCCTTCTTTCTCTTCTGTGCACGGCAGCTCCTTCCGCTGTCATGGCGTTCGCATCTCGTGCCTTTCCCTCTGTAATTTCTTCTTCTCTCCTCCATCAACACCATGGAACTTATGGTTGTCAAGGCCACATCATCAAAACTAGGTAGGGTTGAACTTTGATTTTTTGCTTGGAGGTATTACATTTTGATTTTCTTTATGGCTATGGTTTATTTTTATATCAATTAAAATTCTATTTAATATATGTAATTGATGTTTCAGTGGTAATCATTTGCATATATAATGATATAAAACTCAATGTCTCATTGAAGTTCTTTTTTAATAATTATCTATAAGCTTTGTTATATTTTCAAAGTTTTTGTAAGGTAAGTGCCTGTTTTGTTTGGACAAGCAACCAATACATCAGGTGGTATGGAATGTTTGCGCCTTTTAGCACATAGCGCTTTTGACAACAGTGACTTTAATGCTCATCTTTTAGGCCATGGTTCCATTCATATGAGGCTAAAATCCTAAAAATTATATTTTTTGGATTTGTAGTGTATGGATTCAAGGTGCAGAGGCACTTCATGTTATATTTGTAGTATAAGGATTGAGGTGCGGAGGCTCTTGCCTCAACTTCCTTGTGGCTATGATTAGCCTCTTATTTCTGTGCAATTTAACTAATTTATCAGAAAAGGAAAAACTAAGCAACTCACTGTTAATTACCTTTGTGTGAGTTTCCAGATGTTCATGATACTTGTGCAAGATGCATCTAATTTGTTTGCTTACTCATTTCATTTTTTGTTCTTTCATGTCTCCATGACTATTGCATACAGACATTTTATTCTATATAAATGTCAATGTGCATGTTAGCTAATTCTGCAAGCTGTAAATTTTCTTTAGGTTTGTACTCAATTATACTTTTCTTTACTGTACATTTTCTACAAGGACTCATTTATTTATCATTAATTTGTGCATGGATCAGTTATCTTTTTTCCCTTTTGATCAACTTTTTATACTTAAAGAGAACACAAATTCCCATTTCATCAACGTCAGTGATCTGTTATGCCTGTTGGTTTGTTAATTGACTAAACCAAGTTTGAAGCTGTATTACACATAGGCTGTTCTTCTGATCTGTCACTTGTTTTATCATACACTTAGTGAAAATAAACTTTTTCACACATTTAATTATTTAAAACTAGACATTTTTTGCCTTGTTTCTTGATGATGTTGGTACATTTGCAATTTCATCTGTAATAACCAAGTCCCCCTTTTCATATGACTCATTGGTACTATGGATGCGTGCAATATATTATTTAGTAATATTTAATGTAAGAAAGTAATTATGTTTGTTGTCATTGCATGTACAGGGCGCCAATAGTTCATTTGTGAGGCGTTCTGCTGTAAGCATGCTTAGTGGGAGGAAGCCCATTCAGGTGGGGGTGAGTTGGGATATGACTATGTAACAAGTGTTTTGTTAGATCAAATTACTAATATGATTAAATTGAATAATTTTGTTTAATCAGACGGCCACGAAGAAAAGTGTCTCAGTTAAGACCAATGTGAAAAAGGCCGATGGGGCAGGACAATCAAAAGCTTTAGGATCAGTTGAGACCGAAGATGTTGAGGTAATTTGTGATGTGAAAATAAAATTGTTTTAAAAATAGAAGACATCTTGTATTTTTTGGAACACATGCAATACAAAAAAAAGTGTAGCACTGATTTTTCAATTTACTTTGGTCAATATCAGCCAGGAGAAATGAGTTTGGAGGAAATTGAAGGGAGATTGGGTTCTCTTATAAAGGCCGAAACTATTTCCCAGCTGAAGAGTGGTGTTTGGAAGGAACGCCTTGAAGGTTTTTGTTCACTATGCCTTGCTGTTGTTTCCATAGAATTTATTGACAATAATATGTATTTCTGTACTTCCACTCAAGTTTTGTGGTCTCTTCTAGTCTTTGTCAATACCTGCAGTTTGAAGTTTGTTGATGTTCTTTTAGGATACATTCATTTATGTATCCACGACCCTAATAACTGAAAAAAAAGGATCCATTTAGTTATGTTTATTTTTCTAGAACAAACAGCTAAAGATCTCCTCATGTTCTAATGCTGTATGCATTACTGCGTATCATAAGCAAGGGAATTTTCTATCATTTTGTGTGTCATATGACTAGAAGCTTTTTTTTTCAGGCCATAAGTTAATGGATGCTAGTTCATTCTTTCCAATTACTTTGTTGGTATTTAATGTGCAGAATTTATCGTTTAATCTTAAAATCTCCTTCTAAAATTCCTGAATTCCTGCGATGGCGATGTTGCTTAATGATGGCTGCCACTTTACATCAGTTGCCACTTAACGTCAGTTGGTATATACCATGCCTGTAATGTGATGGTGGCAGGTATGGTGTTCTGTGGACCCTATGCCAAGCCCGTAATATGCTGTTGGTATCTCTGTACCCTTTGCCAAGCTATAATCATGTTTCTTGGCATGACATGCAACTGTCATGACCCCATCAATGGCCCATGCCGCTGCACTTACATATGTTGTTCCTTAAGTGGCTCAACGTTCTTGGATAAAATTCTTATTAGACCAACAGTTCTTTTATTGCTCAAAGTTGTTAATAATACCGAATGTATATTTGCTTTGAAAAACTAAATCAGGATAGTGTTTTATGTGGCCAGCCCTTGCTTTATTTTGTTTGCTATCTGTAATTCTGTAAGATAATATGACCTTTTGCCAGAGGATCTCCACTAACGTTTGTTTCTCTTTTTTTGTCAATTTGCTTGTCTAGTCTATGTAGGTAATTTGTCCTTACATAGGAGGATTAATCTTCTGTTCATTTTAATATCTTATTTTTCTGATTCTAAAACAACCCATCCCTTCCATACATGATCAACTGAATGCTGAACACACTATGCCTTCTGACAGCTGTTGGCCTGCTGAAGCAGGAGGTTGAGAATCTTCAGAATCTTGATCAGTCTGCTGAGATTTTGATTCGTTTTTTATGTGCTGTTCCTGGATGGAGTGAGAAAAACGTACAGGTAATTTCACATGAATGTTGAAAAGCTAGCCACTGACATATGCTTTTCTTGATATGTAAAAATGTTTGTGGGACAGGTCCAACAACAGGTCATTGAGGTCATCACATACATAGTTTCCACTGTGAAAAGGCTTCCTAAGCGATGTGTGGTGCTGTGCCTTTTAGGTATTCAATAAAGTGGTAACATTTTTTTAATTTTCTTTTAGCCAATCTTAGAAAAGCTGGTTTGTGCTTGTATGATCAGTCCATTTGAGGTTTGGAAACTCATAAGGCTTGGCTATACTCTGACATGAATGTGCTCCGGCCTCAATGAGCCTCGTCTGATTCAAGCCCAGAAATACCACTAGTTCTTGTCCAAGTCATCAGTCTTTGTATAGTCTTGAAGCATACAAATTTTTTGAAATAAGAATGGACACTGCATTTGACAAAAAAAGTATTTTCTTTTTGACCTTTATGTGATTTTTAACAAGTGGCTTGACTGTTGCTTCTTTTCAATTTAGAATTATAGTGATAACCAATTAAGTAATTTTTGAGGGAGGCATCATGTTGACAGGCATTAGCGAAAGGGTTGCAGATATTAAAACACGTTCCCAAGCAATGAAGTGCCTTACGACTTTTTCTGAAGCAGTTGGTCCAGGATTTATTTTTGATAGAGTAAGTAGTTATTGGATTGAGTACATTTCTTACAAGATTCATGTATGTTGTTTTCACCTGGTCATACTTGAACCACTCACAAGCTGTTTCCATGACATATAAGCTGTACAAAATCATGAAAGATCACAAGAACCCCAAGGTTCTTAGTGAGGGTATTTCATGGATGGTCTCTGCTGTTGAAGATTTTGGAGTTTCCCACATAAAGCTAAAGGTACTATCTGGAGTTTTTTCCATTAGGTGTTCTGAAAAATTCTTTAAGTTTATCTTCACTGTAAAAATATGTGGTTGCAGGATCTAATTGATTTTTGCAAAGATATTGGGCTTCAATCCAGTACTGCTGCGACAAGGAATGCAACGATTAAACTTATTGGAACCTTACATAAGTTTGTTGGCCCAGGTAAAATTCTTCAGCTTGCTTAAGGCTTGGTTGGTCAAGACCTAAACAGTGTTCTAAGTTTTGCTTCCTTGCAGATATCAAGGGTTTTATGACTGATGTCAAGCCTGCTCTTCTAAGTGCTCTGGATGCTGAGTATGAAAAGAACCCATATGAGGTACAAAAATGAAGGCTGGAATATGACTTCTCCTTGGAGTTCTTTGAGTCGAAGCTTCTGGTACTTATTATGTAATTGACAGGGTGCTGCTGCAGCTCCCAAGAAGGCAGTAAAAGCCTTAGATTCTGGTTCATCTATTTCTGCTGCTGGGTCTGATGGTCTGCCACGCGAAGATATTAGTGCAAAGATAACACCTAATCTATTGAAAGATCTAGGGAGTCCTGATTGGAAAGTATGAGGTTTTATGGCTTTATTTTGTTAATCTTCTTTCTTAGTCTTCATGATATAATGCAGTCTAAATATGTTTCGCTGGATTTATAGGTTCGTTTGGAGTCAATTGAGTCCATTAACAAGATTCTGGAAGAAGCACATAAACGTATCCAACCTTCTGGAACTGGTACTCCTTATGTTCTTAAAGTTGATTTACAAATATCAACAAATTCATTTTGATGTTGATGCCTATTGTATTCCTCCAACTACCAGTTGAGTTGTTTGGTGCTCTTCGAGGCCGTCTATGTGATAGCAATAAAAATTTGGTAATGGCAACTTTGACTGTCATTGGAAGTCTTGCATCTGCAATGGGTTCTCCTGTTGAGAAATCTAGCAAGGTTGGCAGTCCTATTCGACAAAAATTCTTTTTTCTTATATCAAGGGACCTTTTAGCCTTGTTGATGTAATAACTGACATTCTTTTTATAAAGGGAATTTTGTCAGATATACTGAAATGTCTCGGTGATAACAAAAAGCATATGAGAGAATGCACTCTAAATACCTTAGATTCATGGGTTCTTGCTGTTCACCTGGATAAGATGGTGCGTTTTTGACATATTGTGATTTTTAACTTGCTTTCTCCCATTATTTCTTGCTAACATGTTTGTCTGCATTTTTTCTAGGTTCCTTACATCACTGTTGCATTGGCTGATTCAAAACTAGGGGCAGAGGGGCGAAAAGATCTTTTTGATTGGCTAACAAGGCATTTATCAAAAGCTAACGATTTGTCTGATGCTTCACACCTCTTAAAGCCAACTGCTGCTGCTTTGACTGTGGGTCTTAACTTAGAGATGCATTAGTTACACGTACCTTGAGAAAGATGTGTTATAAATAGTGGATGGGTTTCTTTTTTTTTTTCAGGATAAATCAGCAGAAGTTCGAAAGGCTGCTGAATGTTGTATAGGTGAAGTGCTGAGGGTTTGTGGACAAGAGGCAGTATGTGAATTTAGCATTACCTACTTTCCTCCTTCCCTCTTCTCTTGCACACCTTGATGTCCTGGATTAGTAACATGTATATCTTGTGTCATAATTGCTTAGGCTACTAAGTGTATGAAGGATCTAAAGGGGCCTGCCTTAGCTCTTGTACTTGAGCGGATAAAGCCTTCTAGTCTGACTGAAGGTATCTTATTGCAAGTCTCCTGTCTTACAAATTTAGTTATCTCTCAACTTTATTTTTTAAAATTTTGTTTCTTGTTTGCTATCTTTAGAAGCTTCAGAATCCACAAGATTGATTTCCATGGGTCTGGCATCAAAACCGATCATAAAGAATGGAAAACCAGGATCGAACATTAGCAATGACCGTGGCTCTAGACCTGGCACCAAGACTACATCAATGGTGTGTTTTTTCTTCCTGGTCGTAAGATAATATTTACCAGGGATGGTGCTTACTTTTATGTTTTTGTTTTGACAGAGAGGTGTTCCAACTAGGGCTTCAAAACTTGACCCTTTTGTTTCTGCTCAAGATCTTGCAGTCCAGTCACAGGCTTTATTTAACATCAAGGACTCAAATAAGGTGTGTTTCCATGGTGGAGATAATATCAACATATTTGCTAGGATTTTAAGCTTTATCATTTATGATGGGTACTTTGCAGGAAGATAGGGAGAGGCTTGTTATTCGAAGATTCAAGTTCGAGGAGCCACGTCCAGAGCAAATTCAGGATCTGGAGGTTTGCATCTCAAATAACTCTGATCTGAAATTTTTCTTGTACCTTATCACATACAGTTATAAAAACAAATATGGGAACGCTATTCTCATTGGTTTGAGATGTTTTGCGGTTGAGTTAAAATGACATTTAGCTTGTCATGAAAGGGGTGGGATGACCATTGGAGTAGGTTTTGGATATGAGGGTATATCTATGTTGATCTGTATTCATGTCAGAATTTATTTACTGAAAATCTTTCTCATGTGGGTACATCTATTGATTTAATTCTATCCATCTTTGGATATCAAAAATCAAAGTATTCGAATATATAAATGAGTATAAAATTATCTGTATGATCCTAGGAAAGATGTTTAATTAGTTTTTTTCTTTTTCTCTTAAATCCTTCATTTTTCTGTTTTACATGCTTTCAAGTCTTCATATTCCTTTTTAGAAAAATGAGGTTTGAGTTGATTCTTTTCTTATTGATGGGAAATTCGTGAATATCACATCTGTATCCATTTAGATCTAACTTGAATTTGTTATTGTTGTGCATCCATTTTGAATGAATGATGTTACAAAATGTTTTATTGGTCTAGCATCCATATCTGAATTCATATTCACTAAGTAGAACTGGATACAGATGTTTATCACATATCCAATCCATTTTTGCTCCCTATGTTGACCAGCAATCTTATCCTTTCATGCACAGTGGTCGAATAAGATTTCCAAACATTAACTAACAATTGGATTCAGAAAAGCTTACTATCAGAAACATCTTTCTCATGCTTCCCTGATCATAAATTCAGAAAAGTACCTTCTGTTTGTGCACTGTTGAAACCTAATTGATGAAAATTTAACAAGATGCAATGCCTAAGATTTCACCAGCAATATGTAGTTATGTGCCTGATGCTGCATAAATTGAAGGGTGTCAATGTTTGCCAAGATTCCAGTTTAATATATTGTTCAATTCCAATTCTGTGGTTAATTTCCCTCCTTATAGGAGAATCACATGTAGAGTCAAATTTAAATGTTACAAACTGTGAGAAGGGATGATATTTCAATTGAATATGGTAGTATCTTTACAAGTGATTATTCATGGATTCTCTCTTGCATTGTCTCCAACCCTGGAAAAGGATTCTTTATTTTACATCAATGGATTTTGAAACTGTCCACTTTTTTATTTGTACTGTAACATAAATACTCTACCTAGTTTGATCTAGCAAACCAGTAATGGGCACAGTTAGACAAAACAAACTTCAGAAATAATTTGGAACATCGGGCACATGAATCCATATAGAATTTTAAAAGGTGTGGTGGGATACTTCCATGACCAGTTGTTAGTAATCACAATAGAAAGGTATGCATAGAAAAATGTATATTGCAGAGATCGCATAGGATGAAGAAAGTGTTCTCCATGATTGTTATGTTTGTCTGATTTTTTTCAATAAATATTTGGTAGGTCTGCTAGGTTCAGAATTGGAGTAAAATGGGGATGTTATGTTTTTTTTCTATTTAACATAGGTGGGCGATGAACCACATATGGCATTGAAGGTGAAAATTAGTTCTTTGTTTTACCACACAGGTTTAGACAAAGTCAATATGATTTTCTTTGGTTGATGATGTTTGATGAATTTTTTGATAGCAACAAAAGATTTGTCAAATGGAAAGCCTGTATGTCGAAATAAAGACCGCAACTATGTCATTAACATGTCTAGTCCCTGCATTTTGAATATATGGCTAGTGGTATAGAGCTTTATGTGAAAACTTTCAGGGCCCTGCATAGTTGATTGGTCAAGCTGGTGGGCTCCATTGGCGGGGCACATGGTCATTCATGTGGGCCATGCCAGTGTGAGGCTTGCAGAAACCTCAGTATATGATGTTTAGGAATGCAGAAAAAAAATTTGTTTCAACAATGGTATATTTATATGTATTTTTATAAAAAATAAAATATTCCTATCATTTGATATTAAAACTTTTTACTGCAGTATGATTTTGTGAAGCATTTCAGAGAAGACCTACATAGACGACTTCTAAGCACAGATTTCAAGAAGCAAGTAGATGGACTTGAATTGTTGCAAAAGGTCCTTTGACTTTATAGTTTTTTGACTATCAATGTTGTGCATGTATCATTTGTAGGTACTTTATTATCTGAATAACTTACCCATCTTCTGGTCATTATAGGTTCTAGCAACAAATAAGAAAGAAATAATTGAACTACTTGACATACTTTTAAGGTGGTTTGTATTGCGGTTTTGTGAGTCCAACACAACCTGCTTGTTGAAGGTAAATAATTTCCTGTTTGTTTATGGTTCTTGGTGCTATGTTGCAACTGTTTATAATATGGAGTACTGATGCATCTTTTCTCTAAACATGACATGTAGGTGCTTGAATTCCTTCCTGAGCTTTTTGGTGTTCTAAAGGATGAGGGTTACACTTTGACTGAGGCAGAAGCTGCAATGTTTCTTCCATGCCTTGCAGAGAAGGTTCATTTGTTTATGCTTATTTTGGCTTAAATTTTGATCTAACGAATGCATGTCAGTTTACTCGGTTCGATTACTGACTCTTTTTTTTTTTGCTTGATAATTTGATCATGTACAATATTTTATAATTATCCATCCTAGTTTATCAGAATTTATTCTGTAGCTTCTGTATATCACTTTCTGCAGTGTGGGGTAATTTCATCTTGTTTTTCAATGCAGTCTGGTCATAACATTGAAAAGGTCAGGGAGAAGATGCGTGAAATGATGAAGCAAATTGTTATTATCTATTCAGCATCAAAGTTCCTTCCATATATATTGGAAGGCTTGCGTTCAAAGAACAATCGAACTCGAATAGAGTGTGTCGATTTTATTGAATACTTAATTGATCATTATGGAGCTGAGGTCAACCTTAACTATCATACTTTTGCAGTCTTGCCCTTGTGCAAAATGCTTATTGTTTTTTGTCTTTTTGCAGATTGGACAGTTGAAATGTTTGCAGCTTGTTGCTGGGTTAACATCAGAACGAGATGGTGAAATTAGGAAAGCTGCTCTCAACACAATGGCTACTGCTTACAAAAATCTTGGTGTGCATCTTTTGTGCCTTGAGTGTACAACTATCCCTGGGATTGTTCTTTTGTAACTGAGGCCCCTTGATTTTGTGACAAATTGATTTCACCTTTCATAATACTTGTCAATTAAAGAAAAGTACCATATTGGTGCCTCATTATACCTGCATTTAGATTTATACCTATTGAACAGGGGAGGACGTATGGAGATATGTTGGGAAGCTATCTGATGCTCAAAGGAGTATGCTTGATGATAGATTTAAATGGAAGGTCAGTATATACTTCTCCGTCATATGCTTTGACTGACATGGGAGGCATAGAAATATCATTGTCTTAGACAGGATAATGGTGAGCTAGGAAAGGTCATGATTTTATTGCTAGAGATGTTTCCCATTAATGATTACTTGTCTGCTGTTTTTCTTTTTCTTACTCAATATGTTTTGTGTTTTGTTCAGGCTAGGGAGATGGAGAAAAGAAAGGAAGGAAAGCCTGGTGATGCCAGAGCTGCTTTAAGGCGTTCAGTCCGAGAGAATGGGTCTCTCTCATTATTGATCTGTCTTATCATTCACCCTTTGTGCATATATATATATATATATATATATATATATATATATATATATATATATGAATGTATGTATTTGTGTGTATTTCTTAGGTCCACGGCAAATTCCAGATATATTAGTTCTCTTGGGACATCCATTATATATGTTGTGGATAGATAGGCTTCAAGTATTTTTTTGACTTACGTTTAGCTATATTGTATGCTTCAAAATTTTACTCGATTAATTTTCAATTTACCTCACTTGTCTCACAGAAAGTCTAATATAATCTTGCCCTATTAGGTTAAACCATCTTATGATTTTCCCATTTGATTTATGCTTATAAGTCAAACCTTTTGAGTTTTACTTGATTGAAGTTAAAAAATTGTAGGAAATCCATTTGTCAGATTATTATTAATATCATTCAATTTATTCAAATCTTCAAATGCTTATTGATTAAAGTGTCTATAAAACAATACACCGGTTGGTTTACCCATTGTTCCCCAGTAAAATTATCCAGGTTCTTTATTTGGATTTCGTCGCTAGGAAGAAAATAGTAGAAATTGATTTTTCAGTTTTTGTATTAAATTTGTCTTTCTCCATGATAATGAATGGGTTGAACTTAGATTATGGAGATCTTCCATGTGTAGGGTTTTATTTTAACTACATTTTTTAATGCTTTTACACAATAAGTGACAATTTAATGAACAAAGAATTTCCAAGTGTTCAGAAAATACATATACATCTGACCATTTTCTTCAAATTGTTCAGAAAATACATGTTCTTTTCCTTTTCTTGAAAACAAAGTTTATCTTTTTTTAATCTTATTTGGCATCTACCTTTCTTGAATGACCTTGTGGAAGCTGTTTCTCGAAGAGAAACACAATGGGACTGCTGGCCTATTCCAAATTAACAAGCATGACATGCCATCGGTAATATCCTCCTTGTGCGTTAGCGCTTGAGCTACAGCAAATGTTAGTTAGGAGTAGTTGTCTCAGCATTTGGGTGATCAGCTAGTTGCTTTGCTTGTCCTGTAGTTCCTAGGTGAAGTTTGACTAGACAGACCAATTAGTTTTTTCTGCCTACATGAGTAATCACCTCCAACCCACTTGAAAACCTTATGCATTATTTGTCTTCTATGTAAAAAAGATGAATTTAAAATAAAACTTTCACAATAAATCTGATGTTTTAGCACTACTTTTGATTGACATAACTCTAGCCTTTGACTGACATGGTAAATTCCAGTCAGTACCAACCAGTACAACCAAAATTTGATTCATGGCTCTATTGTTCCTTAGAGTTTTCCTAACACAATGATCTTAAAGGGCTTCCATATATATGGTTACTTTGCATGATTCTCAACTATTTGTTATGTTTCATGTTAATTCTTTACATGGTGCATTGTCTCAGAAAATGTGGAAAAGATATCTGTCTGGTATTCATGAGAATTTGTGAGTTAAATAGTGGGTAGTCCTATGTAATTTTATGATAGACAGTGTATATATTTGGCTCTGAAATGTCTTGTCTGTTATAAATATATGTATATACTGTTGTACCAATTTTAAGTTTTTAACATACTATGCTAACATGTACATTAATTGCAATCTCAGGCTAGATGTAGCAGAACAGAGTGGAGAAGTTTACTCACGCTCTGTCTCTGTTCCAATGGCAGCAAGGTATGTGTGATATTTCGTAAATGTAATAATAAGGTGTGAAATCTGGTTATAAGCATGAGGTGCTCCCACATATGCATGTTATGACTTGTTCTTTTTTTCCCTTTTTCCCTGTTTGGCTGATTATGAACTGTTTAATTCAGGGAAAATATATCTTATGCTCACTCTGATGAAAGAAATATTTTAGCTCGACAATTTGCTGGTGCAAATGGTCCCACTGACTGGCATGAAGCTCTTGATATTATTGCAATGGGTTTGCCCGAGCAGGTTTGTTAGCTAAATTTAACACTATTAGTACTTCCTTTCCATTGTCATGGAGTCATTTTATGGTCATGGTAATTTAGAAGGGTTAATTTATGATTTTTTTGCTGATTACACTTTTTTATTGTCTTTGTTGGAGGAAATGGAAGTTGTTTTCTATTTTGTTTTTCTTGGGGGAGATGAGGTGACATGCACTTTTGAAGATGCTGTGCCTATCATGACTCTAATGCTTTTCTAATCACCATGCAGGAAAATATGGGGTAATTAAAAGGAAAATTAAAATAATGTTAACTGAAGAGAGAAAGATAGGATTTGGAATTTATTTTCAATCTCTTGATATTTCCTTCTCTTAGAAAGCTTCCTTATTTATTGTCAATCCTGTTTTCTCACTCTATACCTTTTTTGATGTACATGATTGTGGATGCATTGCCACTTGGATGAGACAACCAATGCAACGTTTGTAGCAAATAACAGATGAAACAGTAATAATGTACCCTGTATTTCACGGTCATAGTTATGAGTGACTTTTATGTATTTCCTTATCTTTGCTTCTCTCTTAACAAATAACAAATGAAGCAGTAATAATGTACCCTGTCTTTCACGGTCATAGTTGTCTTTTATGTATTTCCTTTATCTCTGGTTCCCTCTTCTTTCCCGTACACTCCTTGATTAGCTCTTCATGTTCTTCTTTTGAGGCTGTTAAATTGATGAGAATTAGCCAAAATCAACCAACTGTGGTGGAGTTGATTATGCTGATTTTGACTATAAGGCTGAGAAATCGGCCAAAACTGGATTTGTCGTGAACAATGTCAATATGGCTTGGTTCTTTTATGATCTTGGTTAAATTTGGCCTGTAGAGGATCATCTCTGTTTATAACATGTGCTACTTTTAATGATGCCTTTGTTGCTCTAATATCTTTTCGATTTGTTATTTTTTGCTTTGGTGCAGTCAGTTGAAGGTATGAAAGTTATATGCCATGAGCTAACGCAGGTCTCAAATGACCCTGACAGCTGTGTAATTGAAGATCTTGTTAAAGATGCAGACAGATTAGTTTCGTGCCTAGCCACAATGGTAGTTGAATCTTTTCTCTATTATGTTCTGCAAAAGGTGCTATTGTCTTTCTGCTGATCTTAATGGTCAACTTATGCAGGTCCCTAATACCTTTAATTTCAGCCTTTCTGGAGCTTCATCAAGATCTTGCAAATATGTGCTTAATACACTTATGCAGGTATATATTATTCAGTGGATTTCTTGTTCTCTATTTTGTTCAGTCTTGAACAGAATTTACAACAATTGGTTTTGCTGCAGACCTTCCAGATCAAAAAACTAGCTCATGCTGTGAAAGAGAGTACATTAGACAACCTGATCACTGAACTTCTTCTTTGGCTTTTGGATGAAAGAGTTCCTTTAATGGATGATGGTAGCCAATTGCTGAAAGCACTTAATGTTTTAATGCTCAAAATTCTGGTTCGTAATTTTCTTGTTTTTACCTTTAATTGTCTGCATTTCTCCACTATTTATATCTTGGTGTCTATATTTGAGCAGGATAATGCAGAAAGAACATCATCTTTCGTCGTGCTAATTAATTTATTGAGACCTCTGGACTCTTTGAGGTGGCCATCTCCTGTATCATCTGAAGCTCTCGTTACCAGGAATCAGAAATTCTCAGATCTAGTTGTTAAATGTTTAATTAAGTTAACCAAGGTGCCTTTCTAAAATATTCAAAGATTTTATCTAGTCCAGTGCATTTTTTCACTTCATCGAATGTGGCTGATACAGGTATTACAGAGCACAATTTATGAAGTCGATCTTGACCGTATTCTTCAAAGCATTCATGTATACCTGCAAGAGTTGGGGATGGAAGAGATACGGAGGAGGTGAATTTTTTTGTTTGCTTGTGAATTGAGCAATTTAACAATTGTTTCATTATGGATGGAAGAATTACATGGCTCTAATTCTTAATGATTGTTTTGAACTTAAGGGCTGGAGCTGATGACAAACCACTACGGATGGTTAAAACTGTTCTGCATGAACTCGTGAAACTCCGAGGTACAGCTATAAAGGGTCACCTCTCTATGGTACCTATAGACACAGAACCTCAGCCTATCATTCTTGCCTATATTGACCTAAATCTTCAGGTATACTTGAGTAGAGAAGCTTGAACCTGAATTTTGTATTTGTGATTTTATCTGAACTGATTTATGACCTTGTATACATCTCTGTATATTTAGACTCTTGCAGCTGCTAGAATGTTGACTCCATCTGGCCCCATGGGACAAACACATTGGGGTGACACTGCTTCAAATAGTCCAACTCCTACAACCCATTCAGCAGATGCTCAATTGAAGGTGTGTTCACCATCGGTACTATTGAGTTTTGCACTTTTAACCATTTTTGACATTCCACTACCTTGCATGTTTCAACTTTTACTTGTCGCTTTTTATGCACCTATTATTTTGCCCTTATTGGCTTCTGAGTTCTTTTGTTTTGAATTGCACTAGCAAGAGCTTGCTGCAGTGTTTAAGAAAATTGGTGACAAGCAAACATGTACAATTGGACTATATGAACTCTACCGGATTACCCAACTCTACCCTAAGGTAAATACCTTAGTTGGAAATACTCTGAATTATCATTTGTTCATGACTTTTCTGATTCATGTTCTTTTGTATATATGTTGAAATTCTTTGGTTTTCATAGGTTGATATATTTGCTCAGCTCCAAAATGCAAGTGAGGCTTTTAGAACATATATCAGAGATGGGCTGGCTCAGGTTAGCAGTTATTATTCCCAATATGCCTCTAATTGGCACCACGAAAGTTGTGTTTATTGTATCTGGTCTTCTGTTATTTTTCCATCCAGATGGAGAAGAATGCAGTAGCTGGAAGGACACCTTCTAGCCTTCCCATGTCCACTCCACCTCCCATAGCAACTCTTCCATCCCCAAAGTTTGGACCCCTCTCTCCTGTACACACGAAGTTGATCAATGCAAAAAATGAAAGCATACACCCAAATGTTGCTGCTTCATATGTGGACAATGATGCTGTTGGGTCAACAGCTTCTCTGAGAGGTCAAACTGATGCATCAGAGTTTAGGCCTCACTTAGGAGACGATCGGATGGACCGATATCCAGCTGGTTCTCTCTCTCTCTCTCTCTCTCTATACATGTGCATGACCAGGTGCATTGCTAGGCTTACTGGTAATTGTCATCTGATAATTAAATTTTACCAGCTCCTGCAGTTACAATGGGGACACTGGATGCCATCAGAGAGCGGATGAAAAGCATACAAGCTGCTGCTGCCGCTGGCAGTTTGGATGGTTCAGGCCGACCATTAGCACATATCAATGGTAATGTGCTCCATGGAGAACGTGTTGATGGGGAAACACCAACACAAACCAATATTCTTCCAATGGATGAGAAGGCATTATCTGGATTGCAAGCACGGATGGAGAGGCTAAAAAGTGGATCCCTTGAACCGCTTTAGCTGATGATTGTATGGTACCTTATTTCAGGTTTATACGGATCCTTGTAAATGACAGGAGAGCTATACTCCACTAGTTGGTAGGTTGAACACGTGGGTACATCGGCTTGTGAAATCAGGCCTAATGCACCTGATGTGATGTTTATGGAGACTGCAGCACAGGTGGTGGTCATTGATGCATCTGGCAAGCAAACCTTGGTGGTTTGTAGTATTTTTCATTGGTCTAATGTTACAGGGTGATTCTTTAACATGCCCATAATTTTTGTCTTGAATTGTGTAAATGCTAAGACGAGATGAGGCTATATGTTCCGTGCGTTTTGCTTGAAGTGCTAAATTTGGTGTCTGCCTGGGATGTACGGCTCCTAAACAGCCTGAACGCCGCTTGGGGAACCCCTCTTGCCTTGTGAAAAGCCCGTCACAAGCCGAAACATTGGTTGGAGCCATGCTAGGAAGAAGTATGAACGTTTCTTGGATCAGTAGGGTTGTTCTTTGTGGTGCCTCTCGGAACTAATAATGTCACATTAAATCCAGGTCTAGTTGGTGCTACTTGATACTTGGTTTTAATGTTTATCGATAAGGCAAAAGTTCACGGTAAGTGTGGAGAAAAAATATTAGAACGGGTTATTTGATTACACTATGAAATAAGTGTTACATCGAAACCCACAAACTCCATGCTACACGAGACATGCTGAGCTCTCGTTGCCAGACCCTGAGACACTGCCTCATCTAATGTGTTGAGATCGGAAACCGTCAACTAGATGCTACGATTATTATTAAGAACACTAAGCTGTTAGAGAAGGTATTATTACTGTATAAAGCTCTGTAATAAACTTTTAAGAAAATTGGGGACTCATTTCGTGTCCCCTTTTTTTTTTTTTTTCCTGATTAATCCTTCTGCAGAAAACAAAAAATTATTGTGTTAATGGAGATGATTGATATCGAAATGACCGAAGGCATTAATACTTCAAAGATAGTGATCTTTTTACTAAAAGTCATGTAACTTCTTCTGGTATTTAGTCTTTGGAATAGACTAGCGAGCTTGGACTTGGAACAGTCTCAACAACAAAGTTAAAAGGTGTTGGGTTTCCTCGAAAGATAATTCCTCAAATGGATGGCACTTTCTTGCTGTTGTTCTTCAAAGTCTGTCCTTCATCTTCTTCATTCTTCATACAATTTCTTTTATGTATTAAATTAGAAATGTAGTAAAATCTATATTATATGCTTTTGTCAGATTTGTTTTCTCTTCAATAGAATATAATACTCAGTCATTCTGTACTCCGAGCAAAACAATTCCATGTGTTCAGATAAACATAAACCATGGATTTAAATATCAGTCCGATACCGAAATGCCAACATCATCGAACACAGATAAACCCATCCAATACAATCGAAAAGAACAACAAAAACCAATTTTTAATACCGATTAGTACATACTTGTTCGACCGATATTCAAATCTTTTTTACGCATATATGTTTTTTTTGAGATAGTTGACAAGATTAAATTATCATAGGAGCATGCTAAGTTAACAAGAAAGTTTGAGTGAACTATACCTACTTCACACCAACTCTTGTTTAAATTCCTGCGTGACCTGTGAAATACGTCATTAACACAAAAAAATAAATAAAAAAATAAAACAAAAAAATATTCGTCGTAACTCATTCAAGGCCAAGAAATCAAGGAATGTTGTTGTTGAATCTCAGATTTTGATGATGAAACTAATTGATTGTGTTTAGATGTTTAACTACATTTTGAGTGATGTAGGTCTACTCGATCATGATTAGACAGTTAACGCAGGAGGAATTGACGTTGCGCCGGAGGAGATCACGCCAGGATATTGGACGGCAGAAGGTTTCGAACGTCGGGCATCGGTCCAAGGAGAGCGGGATTGCACTAAGGATATCGAGGTTGCGGAGGTCAACCGCCGATTGGGCAACAAGCCGCAAGAGAGGACGATGCGCTGAAGAATCGGACGAAGCGCCAACCAATGACGTGCCGGGCAACATAATGTCAATTCGCATTGTAATAATTGTCTAGATCGGAGTAGAGTTTTGGCTTGTGTGTGCATGATTAACTACGATAACGACGAAGATATAAAGCGAAACAAAGTGTCGAAGTCAAGCACGAAGGATTTGTTGCAAGTTCGAGAGTTCGACGGAAGTCCGAAGGTTCGTCGGGAATGCTGCCAGAACTAGCCGAGAATGAGTAAGGGAGCTTGCCGAAGGGTTTTTCGGAAGCTCATCGGAAAGTTCGTTGGAAGTTCGCGGAGCTCACCGAGAAAGATCGGAGCTTGCCGAAGAAGCTCGTTGGAACTCGCCAAGATCAAATCGTGAAGTCTAGGAGCTTGCCGGGAGTTCGCAGAACGGTTTCCGAGAGTTTATCGGAAGACTGCCGAAAGTTCGCCGAAAGCTCGCCGGAAGAAGTCTTGACTTGCGGACTTTGTAATAGCTTAGGAAATGTCTTTAAATTCATAGTTAGCACATTAATTAGGATTAGGATTAAAAGATAATCCTATATCCTGGTTAGGGGCCAACTGGTCCCAAAATTAGACTTGGTTTGGGCTAAATTTAAAGCCCAGCTAGTGAACCGAAGGGTTTGGCGGTGGCACCGCTAGACTGGGCGGTTGCACCGCCCAGCACCCGAGAGCTGGGCGGTGGCACCGCTTGGCTGGACGGTGGCACCGCCAGTCCACTGTTAGTGTCAGACACTGATAGGCGATGGCACCGCCACTGACAAGCGGTGGCACCGCTAGCATCGGGAACCAAAGAGAATTCAAATTTTGGAGCCTAAATTTGAATCCTCTTGAGGCCTATAAATACCTCTCAAATCTCAGTTGAGATCACAACTTTTTGAGAAGCAATTGATTGAGAGAAAGGTCTTAGAAAAGTCTTAGCAAGTCTTGTTTTCAATTTGCTAGTGTTCACCTCCTTCTTTCTTGCTGAAAATCTGTAAGAGAGTGAACCGCTTGTAAAAAGTTGTAAGAGGGGTATTTACCCTTCCCCTTCAAGAGATTTGCTAGTGGAAGGTGAGAGCCTCATCGAAGAGGGGCCTCGCAAGTGGATGTAGGTCATTTGACCGAACCACTTTAAAATCGGCGTGATCTCTGGTTTGCATTTCATTATTGCTATTTACATTACTGCAAACCTTCTTACGTACTTTATTTCCTCATTACCTTTGCTGCATATCTTTATGAACACGCGTTCAAGTTAAGTACTTCCGAGTTCGATTTTTATCGTATAAAAGATTTTCCAAAATCGACGTTTTAATCCGCTGCACTAATTCACCCCCCCCCCCTCTTAGTGCTGCTCCGATCCTAACCGTTGTTGCATGGGGGAAGGTAGTAAGTAGGCAAGCAAAGACTTTGAATGCTCTTTTGTCTTTTTTGTATAATCCTCCTCACGTGTGCCTATTATCTATCTCTTTCCCTTTACCATCATCTACTTTCAGATAGATGCATGCTTGTTCGTTGCCTCAAGCAACCTCCACTCCCATTATTTTTCTCTCGCAAGAAAACCCATTCCATCGTGCCTAACGCCGCAATTATCTCCACAGATTGTGGACTTTTAATGTCTGTGCCAAATTTACATACTACAACGAATGGAAATATGATTATGGGAAGGGGATGATTGGGGATAGGACACCCCCTTCTCCTTCCTCGTAGCTTTTGGTCCGAAATTATCTATGCTTGGATAAGCAAGCCCCTTATCCACTCACTATCTTTTTAAGTAAGTGATGCACTATATATAACTCCTGTTCGAATGAGGGAATTCAACCTGAGATCTATTAATTTCTTTAAACTTAACACATACGATACATGCAGTGGCAGCACTAAGGATGGAGGAATTAGCTTTTGTATTCATGCAAGTGATGAGAGAGAGCTACAAGGAGGAATCTCCATCTTAGTATTTTTGTTATTTATATTCGATATTATTTTAATTGCTTTTATAGAATTTCTCATCTACACAGGAAAGCTAATTGTTGTGCATATTGGTTAGCACCTCAGACTAAATCTTCAAAAGACTAGTAAATTCTAGAGGGGCATTAGATAATATAGGTTCAGGTCCTCATGATACCTCCAGAATGGGATGATTAATCTTATTTGGGTCTTGTTTTGCAAACTGAGTCACAAATAAACCTTAAGTTGCAACATTAATGAAGGCTTAAGGGCCATATAGTTCTCGAAATTTTATTTACTAATATATAATATCCTTTCTCTTTTGGTTGATTTTAGAGTAGCAATATTTGTATGGAATAATACAATGATCCAAGCCCCAGTCAATGTGAATCAGATAGATGCATGAAAACATGCAGTGTATGCATGATGACACACATTTCTCTGGATGAATGATAATTTAATGCACTCGAAAATTGGCTTCTCCCCACAGCGTGAATGGAGTCAAACCTGACAAAGAATTAGTGGGATCGATGGGGATGTCGATCAAACCAGTGACATTAAAATCTGTCAATAAATTAAAACATAAATCATCATGATGTTGCCTCGAACCTCGTAATAATATGATCAAATTATTTATCGACCAAGTTATATAATATTAACCTTCAAATTTTATAGTATAAGAAGAATTCGGATCATCAGGAATTGCACGAGTGCAAGTTTCACTTGGATCAGTCCACAACGATAAAAGTAAAATAACACTTTCTCATTGTCATAGTTTAGATCAAACCCATTAGATTCATCTCTGTTTTCTCTACTGACGTTGCCTGTCTCACTCACAGATGCATACAAAAGAATAAAATAGGTTACAAGTAACATCCTCACCTGCCTCTCCAAATACCTGCTTTCCCATGGCCATGATAACTTAAGAGTGGTAAAGAAAGAATCCATGGACAAAGAAAGCACCATCACAGCACACAAGAAAGAAAGAAATCTGCGGACAAGCTTCAGTAGTGGAGTTACTGTAAGATCATTATTTTTAGTGTGTAAAAGAGGTATTCTTTTGACAACCAAGTGCAAGATCTACAAGGAGAGGTCTTCTCAATGAAACATATGGCTTCAGTCCGAGTCATCCTCTTGTCCTTGGCTTCCTCTTCTTCTTCTTCTTCTTCTTCTTCTTCTTCTTCTTCATCATCATCATCATCACGCATGGGGGAGGACCAAGTCATCATCAACAACAATGTATTCAAGTCAAGCTCTAAAAGAAGTCGCACTTCCAACTCCATCCATCCATCCACGTCTCATCGCCCGTCTAACCCTCCACCCACGAGTTCCTCAACGACAAGTCCTCCGCCGTGAACGGGATGAGGATGACAGCCTCAATTCATAATCATCTCTTCATACTTTGCATCAGGTGTCGGTGAGGAGTGTAGACT